ACAGCCATCGACATCTTCATTAATGGACTTTGTCCAGAGATCCAAGGAGTTGTTGCCTCCTCACTCCAACCACTCTTGCCAGTGCAATGCGTTTGGCTGATTTTCAAGACTAATATGGACCACACAATCGAGACCTCGACAATGAACACAGAATAGGTGAGCAAAAGGAGTTCGAGATCCTGAATCATGCTGTATCGGAAGGAATAGAGGAAACATCCGGTGAGATTTCTAATCTCGCCATTACTGTTGCTAAAGACATGAGTGATGAACTTCTAGAAACAGAGGCTGTTGAGGATTTGAAGCTGAATGCAGCTGATTCAAACAAACACGTGCCATCTGAAAATGACGATGTTGCTGCGGACGTGAGCGATCCGACTCTAGTCGATGAAACTGACGCAAATGAAGAAGGAAAACTTGAGATGGAAGAGAAGGTGGGAGCAAATCGAGAATTGACAAAATCAGAGCCTCTGCTAAGTCATGAAGGTGCCGATGCGCTTCGCCGCCATGGTTTTCTCTATTTGCATCGTCGAAATGGTCGAGCGACCCGAGTACTGAACTCCCCACCTCGCCAAGGTGTGCCCGATAACACACCCTCAATCCTTTCTGCTCGACTGTTTTCTCCGATGACCGCTTCTCCGTTCATTGTTGGAACTAGTTTTTTTGAGTCATTACGATCGTCTTCGATTCTGGACCCTAAGTCTGACCCATTACGGGAATCACTTGGGATGAAGACCAAGCCTCAGCTGCCCTACTCGTTCATGATTAGCAGTTCGTTCTCAATGATTGCAAGCACGCCTCTGTCTTCTGCATTACTGTCCTTCTCAGCATTCCAGCCACCTGTGTGTTATCAATCATTCTCAATCTCTCCAATTAAGCTGCCGAGTAATGCAAATACCACACGCAACTTCAATTCTGACTTAGCAATGCATAGCCATGCTAATCCTAATCCTTATCTTCCTCAGCCATCACCTCACTCACCAAAGCTGTTCACATCATGGGTTCGACAATGGAGTCTCAACAACACCTCAACCTTGAGTATGTGGTCCCATCGTTCTAGCTTTTTCAAAGAGAATTCTTCTCCCTCTGGGTTTCAAATTTCGCTGGTGCAAGGATGGGAAAGTTGCGATGAACAACGTTGTATGCCTCCTTCTCCACCGCAAGTATTCTTCTCCTCATTCATGCGAACTCCTCTACCTTCATCCGAGCAATGCGCATCACTCAGCAATCACAGGGGTTCCGACCACATTGCTCGGAAAGTGATGTCGATTGATGATGGCAAGAAACGGATCTTCACGAACGGTGTTGACTTTGCATTTGGGTCGGGTAGAGATGCCGTTGGAGGAGATGGGTCGGAAAAAGCTGTGCAAGTAATCATGGGCGTCGGATTATTGCTGGGAGTTACTGAATTTGTCCCCGCGATGTGCGTTCACGAGGATTGGCTCCAAAAGTGGTTACGGTGGATGTCACGTGGCAGCAAGCAGAAACCTATTGAAAATGGGGTTCATCCTCATGGTGCTATACCCAATAATCTGGATACTGGTTAGGCCTTTAACGTATATGGGTCCAAGGGCTTGTGGATGGATGTGGGGTGCATGTTATATGTCGCAATGGGGATCATCACATGGGCTAATATGGAACGTGACAATGGGGCCTTTGGACTGACGAAGATTGCAACATGCTTGGGTTTTGATGTCCACTAATTTTTTCCTTATTTAAAAAAAAGAAAAAGTCCTATGCTAAATCTATGTTTTACTTTCTGCTTTTGTACTGATCCTTGAGGACAAGTATCTCTTGTTGGGGGCAGCATATTGATATGTGGTAATAGCACTAGTGAGGGTAATTAGGTAAATAACAAGAAGGGTAGGTCTATAAATAGGATATGAAATGATATATTGGATGTAGATTGAGTTGATATTTTACTGTTTAGTTCATTTATCTTCTTTCCTATTATCAATTACTGTAATAACCAATTTCTAACCTAGGTGAAGTTTAGAGATTAAAGATTAACTTCTTTCGTAAAAATAATACTACCTTCTGCTTGTGTGTAAGTTAACACAAGGGCAACAAAAAATAAGCAATGCTTTTTTTTTCTTGGAAACAGATAAAAAAAATGTTGGTAAACAAAGTCCTTGCCTAAATAATTTCAATCCAATTTTCTCAAGAATTGAAAAAAGAAATAAGTTATATACATTCTATTATATCAGCATATGCTACTAGACATGTTACTTTGGTTGCTAAATATAAAAGCTAATTAAATATTTAATTTGATTGTAAATATAAAATCTCAATTTATTTTATCTCTTATATTTACTTATTTATTTTCTCAAAATAATCCTCATGTGGATTACACATGTTAGGGAAGACATCACCAACTTATTATAAAAAACTAACTTAACTAATTTTTTTAATATTAGCAAATTGGTGATCTGGCTCTTATATTGAGGATCGATAGTATGAGTCAACTAACTTATCTAAAATATGAATCAAATTCAAATCTGAATCAACAACTATGACATAAGTATGTGAAGAATTTGATGAATCAAAGCAGTATGTGCAAATTGCGAAACCATACAAGAAAAATAAAATAAATGAGCTCAGCAAAAGATATTTTTAGAAGACGCAAGTTAGTTGTATATATGAATGGATGCCATTTTTGTTGATTACATCAAACACAACATGAAATTTTGGTCGTTGTGTCTTTCACAACAAAATTTCTATTTTTATTTTAGTAAGAAATCCCCAACTACCCCAACAAATATGGCTTCCTTAAGTTTGATCCAATCAACGTCAACACGCGATCTACATTATTACACATGAAAAGACACATATACTGTATCAATTAATTTTTTTTTATTTTTTTAACATTAAAAGAAATTTTATAATCTGCTTTCGTCAATAAACAGTCATATATTACCAATAATGATTGAGTTGAATAAAAAGGAGTTGACTCCTCTCAAGTAATATAAGCTTGAAAATTCAAACTTTATAAATAAAAAAAATATCTTTTTTGCCATCATAAATATTTTAAAAAAATCTTGCACGTTCAAACAACTACTCTCAACTTGAACTATAAATACTCAAATCTGACTTGGTAATAATAGATTTTAGATAATATTATATACTACCTCCGGTCCTAATTATAAGAGTTAGTTGACTAATTTGAGAAGATTAAGGAAAGAAGTTAAATTAGTTATTTGTAATAAATAAGTGTTATCTTTTCTAAAATATCCTTGCAAATTAAATGTGTTGGTTAGAATTATTATTGTTAGAAGGACTATCTTAGAAAAAAATTTGTAAATATGATAGATAAAATGGATTAAAGTCTTATGTTTAGGACCAAAATAAAAGTCAAACAAGGTCTTATATTAAGGACCGGAAGTAGTATATAATAACTACATATGCTTCACAAAATTTATATATTAACTGTCATAATACTCCTCCGGTCCTTAATATAAGACCCATTTAACTAATTTGATTAGATTAATGAAGTTAGGTAAGTTAGTTAATTATAAGAAAAGTGACACATTTTTCCTAAAACACCATAATCATCTTTCTCAATACCTCATCTTTCACTTCTACTTTACTATGGTTGAGGAGATATCCATAAGGGTAATTTAGAGAAAATTGATAAATATGAGAAATGGGTCTTATATTTAGGACCAAAACTAATTCAAGAATTGGGTCCTATATTAAGGATCGGAGGAGTAATTGGTATCAAAAACAAGTTTGATGTTCCACCTCATGAACACGAGAAGTTGAGAAAATAGCACTTTATCACTTAACAAATTATTGATAACAAACAAGGTTTAGCTTGATGATAAACCAAATTATTTAACTCATAATAAAGTAATAAACTCAATCATAATAACAAAAGAAACCATTGTATACTGGAAAATATAGTTGGCCTCTTAAGTTCACAATGAATTAATGGTCAACCAAAAAAGTAGAATTAAAGAACTCTTAAAAAGCATGACAGACAGAAAAAAGGAAGAATAATAAATCTGTAACTTTTATTGTATGTGATGGAAATTAAAACCGCATGCAGAAACAGTAACATATAGGCATGTGCAATAGAGTGACTAATAGTGAAGATAAATCTTCGAGCCTAATTAAAATAATACAAGTTCTATGGAAGTAGCACAAAATAACTTATCGTCGTAGCCGTCGTTATCATAGTCATCATCATTAAGAATATCATTAGGTCCATTATAGCGTTTTGAGGATTTTGTAATCTTTAAAAAAGACAGAGAAAGAGAATGACAGAGAGAATGTGGTCTGTTTTGGCTTTTTTTTTTTTTTTAATATTGTACATAGTGGCTATGACAAACACAGAGGCCAAAAAGGAAGAATAATGGTAGGAAATCCACGTGCTAAGCAATGAGTTTTGAGGTTGATATTCTCAAGAGCACGCTTTGGGTTGAATCAAGGAGACAGGACCACTGACTGATCAGTCTCACGTTGTCTTAAGAGAATGTCTGTCTTGCATTGGTTAGCTAACATAAAGCAAACCACATTCATTAAATTAATTAAATACCTCGCAGAAGACAAAGATGAACTTCAACCAAGTGCTTATACCTGTTGCATTACATTAAACTACTAGTATGATTGAAAGTTACTATCACTTTCTAGAGATCCCTTTATCTTAATCATAGGTGCTATAATTGCTTGGACTTTTTGTATGCTTAAAGTTTATCCTTTTTTGAATCACTTCCTTTTCTGCTTTCATCCTCACTTATAGTCTAATCATGTCCAGTTCAGCTTATAAGAAAAGATATTATACAGTGTAACAAGAATTCGCAATTTTCTCATGCATGATTAGTTATGGTAATAGTGAAATTTAACAACACAAGTCATTGAAGATGTGGCGAAAGGAAACTAACATCAGATGTCATTCATTAGAATTTTCTTGCAGAGTTTGACAGAGAAAATGAAAATGATGATCTGCTAATATTCTTACTAGCTACAACATTGGAAGCAGATAACCATTTTGGCTTTGAATTTTAATGTTCGATGTGGTAGCTAGGGTTAAACTGCCTGGGAAAAGAAGGGTTAAAAGAGTAGGCAATACTAGTAGGAGGACAACTCATAGCCTCAACTCTGCTTCCTAGACTCTCTAGTGCTTTCACTTGTGACCTTAGAAACTTGAGGTAATTTGCAGCTTCATCAAGCATTGAAGCAGTGTCCATCTTGCTTCCACCGGGAACCAATTTCTGCAAAACCCTAATTCTTTCACTTATTCTCTCTCTTCTCAGCCTTGCAGCCACAGTTTGAGGATCTGTTGATATCCTCACGTTCTTCCTCTTTGGCTTCTCCACCACCTCCATTCCTAAATTCACAGGCCTAAACGCTGCAGCCCTGTATATCATCTCTTTCATTTGTGCTATGGCATCTGGGTCTGGTTCTTCCATGGAAGATGATGTTGATGAATGGGGCTGCTTGAAATTGATGTTTGAAGAAGTTGGAAGCTTAGAATCCCATCTGGGTCTTTTGGGTTTTGGTGGATTGTTGTTGTCATTCTCTTTAATGAGCCTGAATGAACTTGAACCACCTTCTTCAATGTTGAAGTAGGGATATTGGTCAAAGGCATCATCAATGCTCCTTTTTGAACACTTAGTCTTGGTGGATTCTGCGATTTTTATAGCTTGATTTGCATAAAGATCTGAGGAACCCTGAGATAATGTTTCATGGTCAGCATTGGTAGCATTAGTAGTACTCTCGGATTCACTTCCTCCATTGTTATAATTAAAGCTCCATAAGTTTGATCTTCTGCAATCAGATAAGATCATGGAGACTCCATCATCTTCAACAGATGTGTCTGTGTTGCTATTTGTAGCTGAGAGCAAGCAATCTAGTGACTCAGCAGAGAAGGTACCATTTTTTGAGCCATTATTGACAAGTTGTGGATGTTGGTGGGCCATGTTGAATTCTGGAGGATCAAAATTACCAAATGGGTTATTCATACTGTAAGATCCACCAGCCCAGCTGGACCCACCTACTAGCTGTGACAGATTTGTCTTTGAACTTGTAGTAGCTGCTAATTCTGCTTCAGCTTCCGATAATTGAACCATCTCTTTGATCAATCCTTTTCCAGAATTTGCATATAGATGATGATGATGACGACCCGTTAGAGGCTGCATCTCTTGCATTGGATTATTAGGAAAGCTTGGATTCAAGCTTGCTTCAAGCTCTTCTTGTTCTATATTGCTCCAAAACATGGGCAGGTTCTCCACAGCATGTGAGGCATCCCAACTTAGACCATCCATTGATAAGGACTAAATATAACTTCTGATACAAATTTCAAGAATTCAGAGATCTAGTCAGATGAAAGTTCATTATTTGTGTATGCATGAGTATGTGTATATATAAAACAGACCCGATTTAGGTGTCAACTATATAAGATAAATTACAATGATTAAGCGTTGAAGGACTTACCAGTTCTAGATCTAACTGCTGTCAACACCAGAATATGAATTCAAGAGCTAGCCAACTCAGGAAACCAGGTGTGAGTCTTTAACGCGAGAAACAGAGCAGAACATAATTGATACCCAACTTTTATATATATGTGAGCTTCTTTTGATTCAGAATATGATGAAAACTGTAATAAAATAAAAGAAAAACAACCAAAGCTTATATCAGATATGGAAATTGAACTTTGAGCACTGGACTATGGAGCTTTTGGTTGATTGTGTGTTTGAGTGCGTGCGCGTATAGAGAGAGAGAGGATACATCTAAGAACCGAAAGACAGAGTATACAAAGGAAAGAAGAAAGGATGTACCTTCATGAGTTGCCATGGAAGACCTGCAGCAGAAATGATGTTAGTTTGTTGAAGAGAAGCTTATATAAACAGGAAGAACAAATGGTGTGAGATTTATTTAATAAGAAATATATTGGTACTTGGACAACTGCGTCAAGACACTATTAATAATAAATAGGCACTAATAAAATATTATAGTTTTGAAAAAAGATAAGGCTTTTTGGGTCAGATGGGTGCGTTATGTGAGACTAAATTTTGCAGATGGGGAGCATATGAATGAATGAGATAGAGCAGAGAGAAAGAGAGAGAGAGGAATTTTTGAATCTGAAACTGGTTATTTATTAGCTTATATATATATATATATATATATATATATCTTTATGTTATTTTTTAATCACTTGTATTCTTTTTAAGGGGGTAAAGGCTCTGACCTCCTTTTGATTTGTTCTGCATATTGCAAGTTCTCATGCGCACTATAAAGTTGCAGTGAAAATTACAGGGAAAGTGAGAGCATCTTCTAATTCTAATACTAATATCACTTACTCTTTCCAAAAGATTTCTGTTTTAATCATAGTTTTAATCATGGCCTGTGATGTTTTCACTTTCTGCTACATTCTTGTAAACTTGTGACACACACATATTTATATAAAGATAATGGGGTCATCTTTCTACCACTCATCAAAGCATTCAAACTGAAAGTGAAGGCTTTGTGGGACTTCAAGAGGAATCTATACTGATAAAATCAGAATCACAGTACAGAAGTAAAGATTCAAACTTTCTGCAACCTAACATTATTTTCTTCACATTTTTACGGAATTCCTTTCTGGGTACATCTATGCAAACCCAAGTTCTCTTTCAACCTGGATCTTGCTTACAAGCATATATCTCAATATTTGTTCACTAATCTAGATAAATAGTTTTACTAACATGGGTTTTTTCAATTCATGAGATTGAAAATTTCCACTATCAGTTAAGGAACATTAAATTCCTTCTGCTATTTGCTCAAAAAAAATTTTTTTTTTTTAAAAAAAGTATGAAGAAGAAGGCAAGTTGGGTATACAATTCTTTTAGCTAAGTGCACTCTCAAATATGCTGAGATGGGTCTTATCACATGCTAGCCATCATTACAGCTCAGTATGAATGGGTTCCAATGACTTTTGCTAAACAAATCTCTGTTCTTATTGTCAATATTCCTCAATTCCTCCCCCTTGTTATCTAATTCAATTCAACAAAGAGCGTAATAAAAATAGAATATAATTTAAAACAAGAGATATGATTTTGCTTTTAATCCATGTCCAAAATTTTGACCTCATGGTAGTTAGACAACATAGATATGGTCTCTTTAGTTATGTTGTGAGAAGCTCAACAAAACGGTTTAAAGGGCACAAATTGATTGACCAAAATTTATCTAAAATGTCATTCATGATTTCAGCTTATCGAGATCTTGTTCCCTTCCCTCTCTATTAATGAAAATGAAGTTTGAGTCAACTATGTTGGCTTTTCTTTTATTATTATCAACTTATTATATTTTAAGTAAATAATATAACTATTATTAAATTAATCACATACCCTTTTTCCAAAAAACCATACACATCTCAAATCATCTTTGGTAATTATAATTGTTTTGATAAAAAAAAAATTTACGGAGGAGTTAATTCAACTATCATTTACAATCATTAAGGAGAATAAACAGTTATATGGCCTCTTTTATCTTAAACAAAATACACAAATGTTTATTTATTTAATTAACAACATAACTTATGAAACTACATGTTTCTTAAAATTTTAAGTTTAGTAGTATTTGGATGTAATTGCAATTTATCTTTTGCAGCACAAAATGACATTGTAATGTATTCTTTTTGCCAACATAATGTATCTTTTTAAATCTTAAAAAATTATTTTTTTCATTAAAATGATTAATATAATGTAAATATTTTTCCCAAGAAAATAAGGAGGAATAATGTATGCTAATATAATAATAAAATACTTGCAAATTATTGGGAATTGATGGTTTGACCCTGAGGCAGAGTGTGAATGAGGGCAGCCTCAATGGAAACAATTTCGGTGGGCCCTGACATCTGGGCCAAGTGGTCCATTTGGAAACGAGAACGCGTGTAGAAATAAATGAGAAAATTTCCTAACCTGAGATGAACCAATATTTAAATTTTTGAAGGACACTGCATGTATATTTAATAGTGTTTTGAACAGGATTATTTTTACTGAAAAAAATGTCATTTTAATTTTAAAAAAAATTTGTCAAAATCATAATTAATGAATGTCCGTTCTGTATCACGCCCCTGCCTTATTTCAGGGTCATTCTAGTGGACATGAGCTGTCTTATCCCTAAAAAAAAAATTTGTCTAATAGCATTTTTTTAATATTTAATATTATAAAATAATTTAATTTCAAATTTCTATAAAGAATAAGTGAATAACTCTTCTAGTATAATCTTTTACTTGTAACATTTGGATATCTAATTTTATTAAAAGAATATTAAGTTCCTTTCACTCCATTCAAGCTCTAATATCAAGTATTCAGTGATTTTACCTTCTTTTTTTTTAACAAAAATCATTTTCTCATAATGATATTATTGTATTATTATATACAATCAGGTAATGACAATTTTAATGAACACAAACTCATTTCTTTCAGTTAAATATTTTTTAAATATAGTAAATGATAGGCTTATGCATAGCATTAAATTTGAGTTAAATTATATATTATTTTCAATTTATAATTAATTCAAGTTTATTTATACATATTAGATAGACAATATAAAATATAGATGTGTGGATTCAGTTTAGATGGTTATCCATTAAATAATACATAAATGAGACGATATTGTCAACACGTATATTATTCTATATTCTATCATTAACTAGATTAGCTTCATTATTAATTTCTTGTTTTAGTTTTGATTTTAGCATTAATTTACAAAATTATTTACCTTAAAATAGGCAATTTCAATAATATTCTTGTTTTGTTTTATTTTTGAGATAAAAATATTGGAATTAAATATATGTGTTACACTTTTTTTTTTGTTGCCACTCAGTTCACCAGAATTTTGTTCCGGTTACATCTGGATCCGACCCACGTCGCACACTTGGCTATGGTGGATAAGTCTCCTAATAGGGATTTCTATATACGTTGAAACTCGAACTCGAGAGCTCGTTTAAGCGGTACCAAGCCGCTTATCATGTAGACCAATCCCTGCAGGTATATGTGTTACGCTTTAGATAAACGGTACCCGTTTTCCAATTTGAACAGTGCATCCTCACGTGAAGTCAGCACCCTTATTCCTACGTGGCAATCTTTGATTGGATATAAATGTGATGAGATAGACGTCGGTCACATGGAATGGAATATCAAAACGGAGAAGTTGTAGTCAGGAGATGGGACCATGTGATCCATCTGATCCCACTCCTCTTCCTTAAATTTATCTTAACGTTATCCTGATAATATTATTTTATTCCCTCAAATTTTATGTTCTCAGGGTCTATTTCAGGTTTAATTCAGGAGGTATTTGAATGGAATCAAAAACATAACTTTAAAAATATATTTATGGTATAAAAATAAATATGTAAAAGAATTTATTTCGATTTAAAAAAAAAATTTTAAAAGCACTTTTTACTAAACCCAAATACCCCTCAATAATAGCAGCTCTAACCCTTTTTTTCCCTTTTATTTTCTATCTTCAAATATATATATATTGCTTGCATGAGTTTTTTTTTTTTCATTTTTGTCAGCAAGTGTCAGTATAAACTAAATTTTATGTTGAGAACTAGAAGTAGACACTAAGGACTAAAAGTAGTACTCCTCCAGTTCTAAATATAATACCCTTATACATACTGGTATAAGAGTCTTATATTTAGGATCGGATGAGTATCTTATTAATAATTAGGAATAATTCAATTAAGGATGTGCATAGGTTGGGTTTCACATAATCCTGATTTTCAAGGCAAAACACATTTTTAATGACAAAGGGCAATATTGTTAAAATCATCACAATATTATTCTTTGTCATTAAAAATGTTGATAATCAACATCACTATTTTAATACCTAACATTAGTTTTTTAACATTAAATGATAATATTGTTACAATTTTAAATTTTTAGAGTAAATTTGCATTCTAAAAAACTCTCAGATACTCAACACTTTCGAGTGAAAAACTTTCTAAACAAATTTTATACTTTAACCTTTATTATATTTGCATTTTCTTGTTGAATATGTGATAGCATCCGAGAGCATATAAATAAAAGGGTTGGTACAAAATGGAATGGGCAGAATGTGAAGATGAGAAGATAGGAAAAGGTTACGATGCGATGTGGTCGCCATCTATCTTTGAAAAAGGAATTTACATATCTATGACTTGTCCTCGTCGTCCTACAAGCAAGTTCCCCCTTCCCTCTCCATTTCTCATATACAAGCATCCATTTATAGGTGGGAAAATAGAATGATCCAACTCACTATTTTTATTTTTTGAATTGTGGAATCAAACATGTGATTTCTCCTTATAACTTTACTAATTAATTATAGTATAAGTTCATTAATCACAATATATGTGAGTGCGGGTGTGATTTGTAAGTGCTTCTTCCTGCATTCAAATTTAAGAGTGTCGTCAAATAAAATTGTCAAGGAAAAATGAGGTAAATTTCCTCTTATCAATTTATGTAGAATATAACATCTGTAATCAAAAGATTTGCATTGTATGATGGACGCCTAATTTTATGAATTAACTCCTATTTATTATTATTTTTTATTGTCCAAATCATGAATATCTAATGACAAAAATCAAAGTAGTGAAATTGAATAACAAAGTAAATCTTATATTAAGAATGAGAAATAGTGTATTATATTTTATGCTAATTCTACTTTGGACTAAAAGGTCTTCCTTCATAACCATAGTATGTTTTCTAGGCGTAAAGTGGAAGAAAGGGAATTTTTCATAATTGGGATTTCCAATAAGATGATATTTTCCTTTTCATTCTTATAGCAACGAATTATGATGAATAGATTGAAGATACCTTCAAACAAAGAAAAGGAACTTTTTTTTTGGGGGAAAAAATTATAATATATTGATACATGAAAGCAGATTACAAAATTCAGAAGGATTTGTATTATAATCCCTCCTACAATTTAAGTCTCATGTAACATATAAAACTGATAATGATATAGTGCGGGGAGGGACCAAGATCTTAAGACATAAACACATCTCTCTATTATTCGAAGATTTTGAAATTCATTGTCAGGGTCTTGTAATCCAATTACCACTAAACAGCTTAAAGTTTTTTTAACCATGAGGTGGGAAGTTGGAATATTCAATTGGAAAAAAAATATTCTTCTCGTCCTATTTATAAGATACTTTCACCATATTTCACATAAGTTAAAAAAAATCTTAAATTGTATTAATTTTTTAATTTTACTCCAATTTAATATATATACCTTTTAAAAAAAACTATTTACACACTATAATAAATGAAAGACAAAAAATAGAGAGAGAGATTTTGAAATCCAATAGACAGAAGAATTGTCAAGAAATTTTTAATATTGAAATACTACATCCGCTGCTCAATATAAGAGCTAATATGAGTTAAATTTCATCATAAATAAGAGATCCTAATCAGTTTTATTTCTCTTATTTATCTAAACTAACTCTAAACCAAAAAAAAAAAAGAAGAACCCTTTTTTATTTTTTTGAGCTGAGAGCCATGACTTATCTTAAAACCCATGTGTTGTTTCATAAGGATGTTCGTATACAAGCCTTGTCCATTTTAATTACTATCTCCGATCCCTAATATAAAAGGTAGATAATTAATTTAAGTAAATTAAAAAATTAGTTATGTTAATTATTTTTAATAAATAGGCATTGTGTTTCTTAAAATATCATTGCTCATCAAGTGTATTGGTTAGAATTACTAGTAAAACAAGGATATCTTAGTAAAAAATAGATAAATATGATAAACAAAGTAAATCATAGTCTTATATTTAAGACTAAAATAAAAGTCAAACAAGTTAGTAGCATCATCCGATTTCCACACCACGTGTCCTGAATCAATAGGAGGTTAATTACCATGTGATGAAATCGATTAATCAAGTCAAGCTTTTTTGACATTTTCTTTTAATTCTAATCATTGAAACTATGAAGTCATTAATTGCATCGAAACTAAGATAGGAATTAAGCTCCTTATTGGGTATATGTTTCAAATAATTTTCCAAAATAGAGAAAATTAAATTGAACATTATCCTCTTTAATTAATTAAGTATAAAAAATTATTATATCTAATCCTAATTATAAGACATCGTTTGTAGATCATAAATGAGATTTTATAACTATGGCCAAGTAGTAGTGGTTAAAATTTAAAGGTTAATATTTTTAATATCTTGACATATATAACTAAAATACATTAGTGTAATTATAGCCAATTCAATACTTGATGGCAATATATATATATATATATATATATATATAACTAGTTCAATACAAGAAAGGAATATATCTAAAATTATTTTCTATTATAAAGAAATAAAAATATACATCTTAATTATAAGACCTCGTTTATAAATTACAAATGAGATCTTATAATTTGGACAGGAGGTAGTAAATGACTTTCTACAAAATTTTAGATTGGTTCTTAACTTGAAAAAGTTATTTCATGCTAAAATCGCTAACAATAAAATAATGACAATGAAATTCTAAATGTTGATAAAATAGAAAAAGTTATTTCATCCTAAAATCACTAACAATAAAATAATGACAATGAAATTCTAAATGTTGATAAAATATTCTCACATGCTAACATATTAAATTTAATTTTTCAAATAAGTATGATTATTACAAAAAAAAATGTAACATTGAAGATTTTAAGGTTAAAAGACTGAAAATATATTTTTTTTAAATTAAGGATTCAAATGAAAAATTTATATAAATTAAATGACCAAATGTATACTTCTATCTTATAAATAGAGAGAATTACAATGAGGTCCTAAGGAAAAAAAATTACAAAAAAAAAATCTCAGAGTTTATCATTTTCTATTCTAAGACTTATCATTACAAGCTCCTCAAGTTGTTATTAAGACTTTTTAGTAATTTTTTTTTTTTAGACTTGATTGTAATTCTTCCTTATAAATATGCAATTCTTGTACACATGACAAGTGATGGGAGTATAACATTTGACGTCCTACTTTTTGGTCTAAAAAGGAAAAAAACATTTGACGCTCAACAATGTGCCTCAGAAAGATTTTGTTTTTAAAAGTACAAATTATCTGCATATAAAATACGTACGAGATTTGATTTGCTAGTTTGTAATTTGAATCCAATCGTTGCATTGCATGGAAACCAAAACCGAGTTTCATGGGATTCATACGTGTAATAACTAGTAAGATTGACCGAAGTTACTGTCGAAAACAAAAAAAGATTGACCGAATTTCTTACAGCTTCAACGTGTTGTTATGAAGCAGTCTCTTCGCCTTGCACATCGCCAAACACTGCGATATGTGTAGAGAAGAGACTCGGTCACTGCCTTTAAAACGCATTTCCCAATCTTATCTCGTTCAAATTACCAACTTGCTCCTATATTTCAGATATCATTTACCTTGATAATGGTGGTTTTGAAGCTAATCTCTGTGACAGACTTAAGGGGACGAAAAAAGAGATTCCTTCATCTTCAAAAGCTATTTCCTTCACTGTTAATAATACGCTTTTGGTCTTTTCCCTGATATCTTGTTTGATCTCTATATACGGTTTAGCGAAAACTTCGAATTTTGAAAAGTGGGTACTTCTTGGTTTTTCTTCCCCGCACCTAATGGTTTATGATCAAAAGTTCTATTTCTTTGAAGTGGATTGATCTGTTTTTAGTGTTGTTGATATTCTCATTCTTTGATTTTGTTCTTTAAGGACTGTGTTTTCCGGAAAGAACTTGTTTTCTTAGAGAAGGTTAAAACTGTAATGCTTTCCAAGTGTTTGTTAGTTTTTCACTGGACCAAATTTTTTCTGAAAAGTATACACACGTGAGGTCTTCCGAGTTTGGTGGGATTAAGAACTTTTTGGGAGTGGATTAGGAGTGTCAGGAAGGAGAAGAATGAAGGGAGGAATTGAAGAGGTAAAGGAGATCAGCCCAATGTTTCCTAGGCTGCATGTTAAAGATGCAGATAAAGGAGGACCAAAAGCCCCTCCAAGGAACAAGATGGCTCTCTATGAGCAATTCGCCATCCCTTCTCAATCTCTTGCTCCTGGATCACCACCCAAGTTTCCTCCTTTGCTAGCAAAAAATTTCCCAGTTCCTTCATTGTCTGGCAAAGTGAGTCCATTAATGCTGCTCAAGGTTTTTCCTCAATTAAAAAAAATCCAAGCTTTCTTCAATTTCTTCGATGATACTATACAGTATACACAGTTTGGTTTTCCTTTTTCCCCCATCACAAAATCTTTTGCAGTATATAAATAGTAAGATCAATTGACATTATCACTTAAAGATCAACATTTTGATGCACATTGCATTGTGTTCACACCTTGCTGTCGTTTTGATCTGAATGGCTATACTGGGTCACACAGGTTGGTAGCAGTCAAGGCATCCAATTCTGCAACTCTGGTGTATCTTGTTATCTGGCTGAGAAGATTCATACTTATCAATCCAGAGCCGTGAACTTCAAGTTGATGGTAAAACCCATGAAACCAAAGAGTTAAGATATTTTGAACTACATGTTCCTATCGTACTGACTTGTAAATGCAATGTTTCAGCCAGATGGTCCCATCAGCTGTAACAGTTCTGTTAAAAATTATGAGCATGGTGATGCTTTGGTAACCCCAGTCTCTGCCCGTGGGAAAAATTCATGCTGCAGCATCAGCCAGAATGAGGAAGATGAGGACAAACTTCCTCACTGTAAATCAAGCTGTTCACTTATAAGTCAAAATTCGTTCAGTAAGAAGGTGAATTTAACTAGACCCATAAAACTTGTGTCAGCAAGATATGAGAACCAGATAGACGATCATACAGAAGTCAGTCAAACTGATCTGCCGGAGGACGGGTCTGCTCAACCATTAGCTGGTTTTGGTGATATGACAGATGAATCATCAATCTCATCAGTCAAAATTAGAACTCCTAAACAACTAAAGAAAGCACATTCATCTTTTATGGAAGACTTTAGAAGTATTTCAGCAGACGGCTTGAAAATATTGCAGGGTAGCAATGGCCTGACCAATGAAGAGGTTGAAGCCTATGGGGACAAAATCAACCTTAGGGATGGTTATTTGGAGAAGCCGGCAACAACTGATGTTCATAAATGTCCTGATGTTTTAGAATTAGGTAGAAATTTCTTCTGGGGCAAGATCGATGGGCATAAAAATGAAGATACGTATAGACATTATGATGCTATGAGTAAGAGCATCCCAGACTATGCAGTAGGTTTGAAAATCACTCCTGATGATGTTATGGGAGTCATAGGGGAAAAGCAATTCTGGAGAGCAAGAGCAACTATCATCAAGTAAAGTTTCCTGTCTGCTAGTGTTTACTTATAATTCAGCCTTTAATTCTGTTTACCATTAAACTATTATGGATTACATAGCTAAATTGGTTGCTAGAGTTAGTGTTCCCAGAAAACCATGAGTTACTTAAACTCCTACTTGTGGACTTCCTCATCTCCAAGATGATTTGATTGTAATTTTAGTCCCCCTCTAGAATATAGAAAAATATAGCAGCTTATTGGTGTATGCTACAGGTGAAATATCACTTGTTTCACATGAATGAAATCATTGTCTGCTTAGAAGTTGCGTCCTACGAATTTAAAGAGAAATTTGTTGGTATCCTTGGAGAAGGCAACTGTGTTTTTTAAGATTTTCAAAACGATGTATAGGCCTTGTGTTACAGATTTACAGATAAAGGGAGTGAGGGGAGGTCATGGTCGGCAATGGAAGACCAATGTTAAGCTTATGAAAAGAGAGAATTTAATTAAATTTATTTTATATTTTAACAATTATCTTTAATTTTTACAAAAAAATTGTATCAGGATTTTTATCCTATCTTATCTCTCATATGGGTTAGTTTAAATTAAGTAGCTATAAAATTATTTAGAGCTCAGACTTTAGCCTACTGAAAATTTGATTGAGACTTGTTATCATATTTGTCCCTTAAGTTTTATTCTCCCTCTGCTCTCTCTCTCTCTCTCTAAAATTGTCTTACTCTCCGCCCTCTTTCTCCTTCTTCCTTCCCCCTGTTTCCCTTTGTCCTGTATCAATTTGGTATTAGAGCACTAGTTTGCCCTAGCATGAAGCTCATAATGCGAGGACTTGTTAACTTCTAATGTCCAGCCAAGAGAGCAACCTTTGCAAAGAAAACTTCTAAGAACGGCATGCACACAAGAGGCCCAAGAGGGAAGGAAAATCAGTTAATAACTGATTTGGGAGGGAAACTTCTAAGAATTAATGGAGGCTCCATATAGCCATTATATAATACTGTTTTACTGAGGTTTAATTCAGCCAGCCGTTAGTTCCTTTGGCATGGTCCGTCTCCGACTCTCCGTCACACTATATCTGTTTAGTCTTATGGGGTGAACCCCTCATGCAAGACTAACACAGAACAAGAAAGAGAGAGAGGAATTGATGGCAGTGAAAAAGGGGGTTTTTCTTTTTGGTTTAACTGGTATTTTTCAGCATTAGATAAATCAATTTCATTGGTATTAGAGATAAATAAGCAACCCACCTATAGCTACATTATCCTAAACTTTTTTACACAATCCTAAATTATTTATGATGCCTAATTCACTCACAAATATCATACAAATATATTGCTTAAAAACCCAAACTATTACTCCCCGTTCTGTACCTTCTTTTTTTTTTAATTTTAATCTTGAACAAGTGATTCGTTATTTAAAGTCAATTGATAGATTTTTGCCCTTTCACTTGATTATTATTTCTTTGCTTCTTTGGTTCTATTATGCACTCTACTTTGACCTGACTGTGGTTTCTATTTTCAGTCAACAGAAAGTTTTCGTTCATCAAGTGTTCGAGCTGCATAGACTGATAAAGGTATTCTCTGTTTTTCCCATATATTACGTTTGCCTGCTTGTGTGTATTTCATGAAGAAATATCTGGCAGCAGGCACTATTATATGTCACTTATGAACTTATAATAGCGTTTCTTCATGTTTGTACCCCGATGGCCTGTTTGACATGAAATGGAAACAGGAAAAGGAATAGAAACGGGAAAACTCAATCTCATGAACATGAGAATCTCTTTTGGACACAATAAAATTCCTTTTTTGTCAACTTTTCCTATTATCTAAAGATTGTTTTTTATGTACCAAACACACTGTCAGATTCTGGGATGTAACTAGAATGTTTCTTCAATCTAAAGCAGGTACAAAAACTAATTGCTGGGTCACCCAGTCTCTTGATTCAAGATAAGCTTCTATTGAGCAAACCTTCGCTAGAAGAATCGGCTCCCAAGAAACTACAATCTGACTACATCATAGAACAACCATCCTCAAACGCCAAACTGAACAACACTAAGCTTGAGAAGCCTACTCCTGCTGAATGTGCTGAAAATATTTTACTTCCCCTTCCTGGGATCAATAGCATGAGCAAAGCCCCCCCAAGTGTTCAGCTTCCAAATTATGGTCATCACTCAGGAAACAATCAACTAGCCCTTCCCGCTCCGACTAACAACACCAAACCATCCCAATGCTATATCTACCCAGCACCAGGAAATCAGTGGTTAGTGCCCTTCATGTCTCCTTCCGAAGGCCTTGTATACAAGCCCATTGTAGGACAATGCCCTCCAAATACAGGTTTGATGGGACCAGTATATAGTGCTTGCAACCCTATAAGCCTCACCCCAGGAAATAAGGATGTTCAGGATGCAACTCATGTTCCATATGTATTTCCACCATGTGGCCCTGCCGTCATGCATCCATCATCTGTATCTGCTTTTGCTCATGAGCAAATAAGCCCTCCCCCCAAGATGCAATCTAAAGGTACTACTGAAAATTACCAATCAACTGGAGTTGTCAATTCTGCCATATTGTACCAAAGTTCATCTAACATGTCCAGCCAGATAAGTCAAGTGATGTCAAGACACGTTACAAATGATAATCACACGTCAGAAGATAAAGATTTACAGACAAGTATAGGCAGTAGTCCCCCAAAGAGGATGAAAGGGGACGCACTTCCTTTGTTTCCTATGGCACCAACATTTTGGGCATCATCAGATCAACAGAAGGCCCAAGCTGTAGAAGGAAATCAGCCACGTATTATCAAAGCTATACCTCACAATCCCAAGTCAACAATAGAATCAGCAGCTAGAATATTTAGGTCAATACAAGAAGAAAGAAAATATTTGTGATTAGGCTAATCAATAGCATGTCATTTCAGTTCAAATAGCCCTGTAGTCCACCAAAGAGGACAAAAGGGGTGCACTTCCTTTGTTTCCTATGGCACCAACATTTTGGGCATCATCAGATCATCAGAAGGCCCAAGCTGTTGAAGAACATCAGCCATCAATAATCAAAGCTATAACTCACACTCCAGAGTCAACAATAGAATCAACAGCTAGAATATTTAAGTCAATACAAGAAGAAAGGACACACTTCTGACAGGTATATTTATACTATGCCATCACAGTTCAAATATTCCTGCAAATGTGCTTTCTTTGTTTCCTATGGCACCAACATTATGGGCATCATAAGAACATCAAAAGGCCCACGTTGTTGAAGAACATCAGACACAAATAATCAAAACCATACCTTTCAATTCTAAGTCACCAAGAGAATCCGTAGCTAGAATATTTAGGTCGATACAAGAAGAAAGGAAATATTTGAGATTAATCTATTCTATATTATGCCATTTCAGTTGAAATATTTTGGTAATATTCCAATTTTGTTCAGTAATTATTTTCCCCGCTACTTGTCTTGCTCTACCTTCTTTAGCAATTTGCATTCTTCACAAAGATCTTTCATTTGATTCTAATATCTTATGATTAGGTGAATCGATATGGTGAAATACGATTCCCTTTTGTTTGAATTAACTTTTATCAACAGGACGACTTCGTGTCTGTTGATTTAAGAACAACTTTAAACACTAAGAAAACCAGAACCGGCGAAACACAGTACAACATACAAAGATGGTTTGAATTTAGTGAATATGTTGGAAAAGCTAACTTCACCTGCCCATAAGTATATTTAGTTTCCCATAGCCCTGATTATGCTATCATGAATAGTCCATGACATTATGTGAGAATGCTTAAACTCCTCAATGAGATTCAGTGGACTGCCAAGAAAAGATCCTCGACCAGAAAGACCAATCAAAATAATCTTAAAAATTCGATATGTTTACACTAGAGAAAATACAACCATTCCCTTTGCTAGAACCCTTCCAGCATATCCTAAACAACTCCAACAAGGAGAGCACAGCCACTCCTTTTGAAGCGAAGGCCAAAAAGAAATTTCTAATTCTCCAACTCATATATCATCTTCGCACCTTCAGAAGCCTTTTACTTCTCATTTTGATACCCAGCATGACAAGCTGCATAGCTCTTCAAAGTAATTTGTAAGCTTCCTATAAAAAAATTTACAAACGAATCATGTTGAACATCCTGCCCAAACCTCTAATGTTAGGGAATGGACTTCCTCCTATCGACTAGTCCAATCCTTTGAAGTCCTGCATAAACATAAATTTTTTTGAAAAATGTAGTAATCACTCACGATTGGCTACCATACCTCCTATATATTTTGTAGACTAAAGCAACAGTTCAGGGAGCACAACATATATTTTAGTCGCACCTTGCAAGACAAGAATTTTGTAGCCCAGCTATATCATCTTGAAGATTTATCATGACTAACATCTTTTATCAAGCTAATTTTCTCCTGAAGGACGCTTTAGAAACTTGAAGGAGTTCAAAGGTAGGATGAACAAGGAAGGAAGAGAAAGCCAACTTCTGCCATGCTGCACAATATTAGTAAGCAAGTTCTAGTGATCTGGATGTGGTTTCTTATGGCCAAGGATGTAAGTATGTAAATGTAGGAAATCCTGCAGAGAAACATAAATTCACAGTGCATTAATCCTTCCAATTTTGTACTTTGGAATCATTTTTATGACAAGAATCAGGGTTACAGTTTGCCCCCACATTTAATAAGAAAGTAGACACTTGTTACGACATTTTCCTTTTCCTCATCATAACCAGGTGAAAAGGTGCACTAATGTTTCAAACAATAATACAATCGCACAGAATATATCAGACACCCAAACCAGTCGCAAATCAAGCAGAGAATTAGATATGGTACCTATCCTTGAATGGTTTCGGGAGTAAAGATCAACAAAGCTCCAGTAGACAAACACACTCAATATGAGGAGTGTGTGGAAACATATCTACCGGCTGTAGACTTGTTATTTTGTAACATCCTTTTATATTCTGCTCTGCCTGCACAAAATTTTCCACAAACCAAATTATTGAATCTGAAAGAACAAGGCTAAAGGTGGTGGTAGTAGTGCCAATATCAATACATACCACGCCATGGCAAAGATAATCGAGGTCACGTGCACATGTAGCGGGATTGCATGACACATACACTATGCGTGGTGCCTTAAGTTTTAGAAGGAATTTAATCAACTTCATGTGCATGCCTGGACGGTTTGGGTCTGCATCAATTAAACAGCTTAAGAACTTGGAAATGATGCTACATCTTTACAGAACATAAGAGGATCAGCGGTGAGTCTCAATACGAATCTCAACTTATTGTCAAGATCTAAAGAGTATATAGCCAGCGTGTTATCACTTAAATGAAGCCAAGGTTGCTCTTTCGGCATCTCAACTATGTAGAAACTAAAATGTATTCATCAAAATTATCATGATTTTTTTTTTTTTTTGGGAAACACCAGCACACGCTACTATGTCTCCCTTTACATTAAATATCAAAAGAATGCAAGTTCTTCCCAAATGTTTGTAAAATCGGTACAGTTTGTTAAATTCAAGTTTCCAGAACATCAACTTTATTATAGCCAGCTTGCTTTTAAGAAACAAATCAAGCAATCTAAATATTTAAATTATTTAAAACTTTTTCAACAAAATTCAAAAGTTTATATCTAAATTATACGTCTGATAAAGATAATACATTAATGTTCAAGTATAGAGAACCTCAAAAACGTTATTGAAAGAACTCAAATTCGTTAACAAAGTAGGCTTCCCCATCAATTTTTTTACCTTATTTCATATATCCTAGAGTAATCCTATTTATGGCAATTAACTCACATGAACATTCAACACATGACAAAAACCACTTTGTAGTAAATACTCCCCCAGTCCTATTTATAAGGCACTTCCAAAATATTTCACACAAACCAAGAAAAACTTTAAACTGCATTAACTCTCCACTAAAGCATAACAACTTTCCAACTTTACCCCTATTTAATATATCAACCTTTAAAAAAAATAACTATCTACACTATAATAAATGAAGGGCAAAATAATACATTCATGTGTGACTTATAAATAGGACCAAGAAAAAAAAATTTCTCTCTGCCTTATAAATAAGACCAGAGGAGTAGTTCACAAGCTAAATGCTGAAAGTTGGACAGCTAATTGCCAAAGCAGAAACCATAAGGACTCATTTCACTCATTTCCTAGGTGGTCAAAGTAAGAACTTTTAAATTATTAGAGTTATTAGTAATTTAACCAACAAAATAAGAGAACTATGAGGAACAAACCTGAAATTACAATATTCGGCTTAGGAAAATTTTTCCCAAAATTTTCATCAATTTTATTAAGATCTCCTTGGACAAATGTGGCATTTTCAATGCCATTTATCTTGGCATTAAGACGGGCATCTGCAATGGCTTGTGGCACAACTTCATAGCCATAAACATGTCTGACACTGAGAAATAAAAAATATATATCAGAATATTGTCCAGCTTAGAATATCATGAGATAAGATGCTACTGTTATCCTTTAGTAATTTGACTCTTTTTGCTTTGTTTTTTTTTTTTTTTTGGGGGTGGGGGTCAATGAGATAATATTACCTTCTTGCAAGCGTCAGGCCTATAGTACCTGTCCCACAAAACAGGTCAAGGACAATTTCTGAGCCATCTCCTTTAATGCCAGCAAATTCTCCTATAAGTTTATATAATACCTCTGCCTAACAAAGTTAAAAAGTTACCTAATTATCATCAATAATAACCATGATTAAATTTAAGAAAAACACGAAGCAGATCTGAGTTGTCAAAAGCATGTTGAATTTCTTAACATATTGCAAAATGCATACCTGATGTGTATTTGTTTGGAAGAAAGAGTTTGCTGATATTTGAAACGTAAGCCCTCTTAGAATCTCTGTAATGTTAGATTTCCCATACAAAGTGTGTTCTTCCTCCCCAACAGATGTATTTCCAACAGAAGTATTTACATTGTTTATGATGCTTACCTATCATTCTCACATATGAAAATTAGGATAACACTAAAAAAATAATAGATGTAAAAGAACAACTTAGAAGCAAAAAGATTAAATTTCCCACAAAGCTCCTTACCAGCCTAGCTTTAAAATTTGAGTCAATATCACATTCGAAGAAAAAAGACTACATAATAAACAACTTTTTTATCATAATCAGAACAGTGACACAAAACAAAATCAGCTTATCAAAGAAATCCTGAAGTTCAGCAATAAAACTAATTTCTATTGAATGTCTAAGAGTCCTATGTTATCATATTGAGAATAGTGACACAAAACAAAATCAGCTCATCAAAGAAATCCTAAAGTCCACCAATAAAACTAATTCATATTGAATGTGTAAGAGTTCCTGAAAAAATCTTTCATCCTTCAGTTATTCCTCTCAAGGTCCATACCAAGCTTCAGTAAGCAGTATTTAGGGACAGGTCATGGAATCTCACAAGAACCAGAACAAAACCTAGAAAGCATCAGTCCAAGTAAGCTCAGTAATTCCTGCCCTCACTCGACAGTATATGTTCCTCATCCATTCTGCTGGAATAGAGATTACTGCAACAAATCTTAATCGTCCTTTGCAAGGGCCAGGCAAGATGAATCAGAATAAGTAACATAGTGCGTTGGGCAGAAACAGGGTAAAAGAAAAGTATTAATAAACTTCAGCACCAACCACTTCAGGAAATGCAGAAACTTTATCAACTAGAGGCTTCAGCAGCTCTGGCTTGTAAGAAGAGGTCACAAAATTGACCATAACTTCGGGAAGGCCGGTGCTGACATGTCTGGAACAAGCCATATTTGTTAATGTCGAAAAGAAAAAGGAGGATGCCTATAAGAGTTCAATCAAAGGTCTTAAATTAAGAATACATAGATGCCACAAGTTTGACAATGAAAAAATAAGAGACTCTTTGACATAGTGCCGCATCTCTTGTCATTAACCTTCCATTCATATTTGATATATGATCAACCAACTTTACCTTCAGAATGATGAAATCACAAATGGTTATACATACTGGAAAGGTAGAGAAACAGGAGTCAAGATTGAAGCTGTTCATTTTCTCCAATTTCAGTTACTTTTTTCACTTTCCGTAATTTTTTATGCTATTGTCAGCATGCTTTATATTAAAAATTTGACAGATTTTTCAAAAGCCAAATTAGCAATACCTGGCCACAGTTTAAGTAATTAGTTAGGCCAGCGCATCCCCTTGATTCACCACATATTCTCACTCCACCACAGACCAGAAAATGTTCTAGACTTTCCCATGCTTATTTCCATAGGACAAATATAGGATTCATATAATGTTGTGTCTAAAAGACGAGTTCGCTGTATCTCCGTAGGACAAATGAGATGGATATTGTCCATAAGTATAGATCCAAGAACTATAGCACCCACATGTATGTTGAAAAACAAAGTTGCGTAAAAACAATACATAACGATATATCCTATACCTTCCTGTTCTTAGCATCAAATGCTTAAGAAATCCAGAGTGTGAGCGAGCATCATAGGGTGAAAGACAAAGCTGTGGGTCTCTCCAACAATCTTGTATCACTGCAAGAACCTATTTGTATATCAAATCAAAATGGCAGGAAAATGACATTCCCCTAAATAATAAAAGGGGAGATTCATATGCAATAAGCAATCAAATGATTCTGATGAGTAGGATAAGGGATCCACTTTCAACAACAGACCAAAAAGAATCTATTTCCAAAATCACTGCGCTCAATGTAGCTAAACTTACAAGCTACAACGAAACTCTCCACACAAAAATATTCTTACTTTTTTTAAGAGAGAAGTTTGCTGGAAAGTTTAAATAGCAAAATAGGGGGAAAAAAAGAAATATTTTATTCCAGACCCCAACGTAAATATGATAATCTGCAAAAGCTTATAGGAAAATGTTTGGTAAACCCAAAGAGATTTCTACTTTCTTTGATTTCCACTCCAATTGAATGTATTTCATCAGATAATTGCCAATATTAATCTCAAAAATTCAAGAAGTCTTTCTAATTCTGTATGTTACCAACCATGATAGTGCTTCTCCCTTTACACATGAATGCAAACTTCGCAAGTTTCAAAATATTTATTCCACAATAAATACATAGAAGTACTCTATGGCCATACAAACTTTATACTGGATAAGAGAATAACATTGCATACCTTATTAGCAGGTTCAGTTTGCAGTAAGCACTTGTCAACATTTAGAACTTTATCAAAATAACCAGGAGCATGCAATCCTAGAGCATGACTTCCACGAACATTATTATTTTCAAGCAATAATTCTCTAGGTAACCATTTATGGGGACCAAATGAAAATTCCATCTGCAGAAGCAGTAAAACAGATTCGTATGCAAGTGTGAGTGCAGATATCTTTCTTCCAATAGTAAAGTGAAAAGGCATCCATTGACTTTAACAATTGCAAAATTTTAATGTCAAGCAAGCAAACAGTCATACCAAGAATTAAGGAGACATGTATGCATCAATGCGTCATAGTTACCCACTTACCTCTCTCCCTCTAATAACCAAAAATTCTACTTTAACAGTGGAAGGCAAAAAATAAATGGTGCTACAGAGGCAAAAAATAACAATAAAATGTGTTTTCTACGATAAATTTCTTCTGTACTCTTGAGAAGAGTTTAAGTTAAAATATGACTAAGACATAATGTCACATGCAAGAACTGCAACTGTTTGAATGAGACTGGAAATGAGTTCCAACTTCTCTTTCTCCCCAACAGTTTTGCTTAGCTTGCATTGCCTTTTGGTAATTATAGACACTAGTTGGAGACACGGTTCCCTATTATATGAAGATGAATACTTTAAAAAATCAGGTAACTTTTTCTTTGAGGATCAAGGACATATCTCTATTGAGACATTAAACAAGTCATAATTATAATGCACAGGGACCAATAATCATAGGAAACGTAGATAGGAAAAACCATCCATTTCAATCAATTTAGCAGCAAACTTGCAATTACAGATCAGATATACAAGCGTTTGCCAAGCTAATTGGATTTGGTAATTGTTGCAATTTTATTTTTTTTCTGTACAAAAAAAGGAAGCACATATATAAAAGAGATGAGGAAAAAGGCTTTGGCCAATGCATTATTTAAAGTGATCTAATACATCACTAACCTTATTTCTGTAATGAAACTGAATATCACAGGGAACAATGGGCTTCATAATGTTGTGCAACTCTAGTTCCTTGTGAGTAAACTTCCCCACATGGACCACCAAGTCACGAACTTGCTCCTCCTTAGCTCTCAGCTGAGCCTCATAAGATAAGTTTTGAGTTTTACATCCACCACAGTAGGGTGCATATTCACAAGGAGCATCTACAATATCCCGAGGAGGAGTTATCGTCTTTAGCTTAGTCACCTGCTCTTCTTAACCAAGTTAAAACAGAAGCCACAACAGAGAGAAGCCAAAATGATGAGATTCCGGATTCTTTACAAGGGAACCAAATTTTAACCTTAAAATGCAAAACTGCTGAATAAAATTCAAATTTGTAACAAAAACAAAGCATTAAATTTCAGTTAAAACTAACAGGAGGCCACTGTATTTGATTGTAATTACAATGCTTGGGACGATTTAACATTGAACTTGCAAAAGATATGCTTTTCAATTCCCAAAACAACAAAATACTGTCTGGTTTCAAATAGTTAACTTAGATTTGACATTTCCATTATATCCAAATCAAAGAAGTAATTTGCCTCGTTTCAAGATGTTTTAGAGTTAAGGCATTAATTATTCAAAAAAAAAAAAGGTAGTCAAGCATCAATTTTGTAACTTCACTAATGTCAATTATTTCTTAAAACCAAGCCAAAGCAAGCATTCACCTCGGCATAATTTCCCTTCTTGCGAGTGACTCGACCAATGAATCGTTCCCCAGGAAGTGCGCGGTCGCACATGACAACGAACCCAGTGTCAGCGACCTTGCACAGCCCCTTACCTTTGAAAGCCAAAGATTCACAAACCAATTCCAATGTCTGGCCTCGCTTCGGGAAGTAGGAACTGGGCTTGCTGGCTATGGTTGAGTTGGGGTGGGTCTGTTCCAAGTCTTCTTCGGCCAGAGAGCATGAGATAGAGGAGAAGCACGATGATGAAGGAAGCTTCCGAAGTCGAGGCAGAGTTGTACATAGGTGCCTGAAGCACTGGTTTGGTATAATGGCCATTTCGTTGTTTGGGAGATGCACTGAGCTCAAAGGAGAAACCAGCGAAGAACAGAAGACAAACGATAGAAGAAGCACGAGGCTGAGGGCCCAACAGAACGGCTCTTATAGGAGGCGCTTTGCGATAAGGAATGAACTCCTTTCTTTTCTTTTCTTTTCTTTTCTTTTTTTAAATTTTGGGGCCAATTATATATATATTTGCCAACTTTTGGAGCCACTGATAATTAAGTAGTTCGTTAATTACGCGATGAATCACTAAACATAAAGCATATTATATTTTTTTGGGCCGGAAATGGGGTATATGAATCCTACCTAGTTTGTGTTAATTAAATTGGATTAATAGAGAAATAAAACATTAAATAAAATCAAGAAACTTCTGGTCAAAAAATAAAATCAAGAAACTAATGCATTCCCTTTAAAAATCACTTTTACCGTTTACAAGAAAAAAATTTCCTTACATATTTAGCTTGTATAATGTAAAATCACTAATCAAACACTCACTTAAAATAGTTAAAGGAAAAAAATAGACAACATAAATAAAAAAAAGTTTGTATTTAATTATGTTTTAACTTAAAATTTAGGAAGAACACATTTAAATCTAAGTGAACTAGGAAAATTTAAAATTAGGCCTACATTTTGAACAAATTCCTAATCAGGGTAAGAGATCTCATTAGGAATTTATGAATATTGTTAAAATTCTAGAGCACCCCCCTGTGATTATAATTTGAGTTGTACCTTTACATTTTTTTTCTTCACAAATTCTTCTCCTAAAAATTTTTTGCCAAATTTTTCTACAATTTGATTAGTAAATTTTTAATAGATGATAGAAAATTACAACACATCCTTGATTCACATTAATAATTACTCCAGAACCATCATCAATATAACAATATAGGTCACTGATAAATTTTAATTTTGAATGGGTTTAATTTTTGCTTAATTTTAATTTTGATCCATCTTCCATATACTTAATAATATATATACACATACATTTTCTTTAATAGAACACATGTATATTTTGATCTTTTAACAGTATTTATAAATTTCTAATTAGGCCTCTTGTCCCAATTTAAAATTTATTTAAAGTGAAGGTTTGATTTTGATTTTTAGTATTTCTGCATTTAAATGGGATTCTCCCTGAAATTTATATTTATTAGCTATAGACTCTCACATCCTTGCTTGAATTTTTTTAAAAAAAAAGTGAGAATAAGAATGTTTATTGCTAAGTGAAAGACATAAATCTTCAAACAAAATCTCCCTTCAAAATTATAATTTATAATCCAATATAAATATATCTATACTTTAAATTTTAGGCAAAATTACAAAAAAAATCATGAAAATTATAAAATTGTAAATCAAGACCGTTATAATACTTGTATAGTGTAGGTTTTGACAATACTCGAATAACAAATGATAACATATTTTTGACAAAATACCTTATTTGTAATTTCACAATTTTCATGGCTTTTTTTGTGATTTTTACAAAATTCTATATTTGCAACACGTGCATGAGACCGAGCAATAGCTGAAACGCCGAAAATGTAGGAACGTTAGGGACTTGAAAGAGATTGCATGTAGTTTACTTCAGTTTCTTTGTCCTCGAAAAAAAATATATAAAAAATAAAAAATTAAGGGAATAATTAACAATGATTAAACATAAATAAATAGTAGTAATAAATAAATAAACGCTCTTTGTGCAAAGTAATGTTGGATCTCAACCGAAAACAACACACAAATCATTTAACATTGATGTGTTCATCATCATCGTCTTCTTCTTCTTCTACTTCTCTTCTCTAACCTGAAAGTGTTCACTTTCTTTAATCAGACTCTGAGACTTCCATACCCCAAAAAAAAAAAAAAAAAAAAGTACAGCTACCAACAAAAGCATCCGTATGCACAAACAACTTATCATATGGTAATGACCTTTTCATTGTTTAAGCACAAATCACTCCAGCATTATCGATTATGTCCATCTCATTTTGATTCTCAAATGTTGTAGGGCATTTCTCTTAATATCGTATTCGTTCATTGTTTTTTGTTTTATCTCTCTCTTTTAATATTGCATGCGTTCTGTTGGGCAACTTTTGATCTTATTCAGATTGCTGTGTCCAGATTTCTTCTTTACTCCCATTTTCATCCTTCGTTTTTTCATTATTACATGCATTTTCTCGTGTAAACCTTTGATTCTGTTCATATTTTTCAAAGAGGGGTTAAGCCAACCTGCACTAAACACAATCTAGATCCGAAAGTACGTATAGCAAAATGAAGAGAAATAAGTATAAACATAAACCATAATTTCTTGTGAGGTGTTATTATCTCTTCAAACACATAAACACAGAAGATTTAAGATGAACACTTGTGAATTGGATGAAAGTCTTATTCATCCTTATAAAGTATATACAAACAAAACATATAGTATTTATATACCATGATCACGGCATCTGTCTATCTATCTATCTATTTATCAGAATGCAACTTTATCTTACTGGCATGCATGCATGCAGAGGCTGGTGACGTCGGCGATGGAGGAAGGGAAGGAGATGAAGGAGGCTCCTATCCCATTTAGAACAGCACAATCCAGCAGGTCATTCCCTCTGAGACTTCTTCAGTTCTTCTTAGTCTTCCTGATCTTCGGCCTCTGCGCTTCGATGGTGAGCATGTACATGATTCGGCATTTCGGCATTCACAACAAGAACCTCATGATGCCTTTAATACAGTCATCTAGCTGCTACAAGCCTTGCTTCAAGGAAAAAGCCAGTGTGGAAAGTTGGATCAGACCTCCTCCAAGTTTAATACACAGCATGAATGATACAGAGTTGTTTTGGAGGGCTACTTTTGTGCCAGCAATTAAGGACTACCCTTATCACAGAGTTCCCAGAATTGCCTTCATGTTCTTGACTAAAGGACCCTTGCCTTTGGCACCCTTATGGGAAAGGTTTTTTAAAGGCCATGAAGATCTCTATTCAATCTATGTGCATTCACCCCCTTCTTACCATGACGATTACTCATCTTCTTCAGTTTTTTACAGGAGACAGGTCCCAAGCCAGGTAACTGATATATAGCATTGTGTTGTTTGTTCCTTTTTGTTAGAAAAATAGAAGTATATGTTAGTTTCTCATTAGGCATGCTAGTTTTTAGTTCTCGTGCTATATATTTCTACATGCCATGGCCATTTGTGTTTGTTATATATGATTCAGGAGCTTCTCTGACATTTTCAAGCTAAGCATTTTGTTTATAATCCTCTGAAAGAAAATCCAGTAGATAATATCTGATAGGCCTGGATCTAAAAGGCTTGCTTTTGTGATGAGTCCTTCTCTTTAACGAAAAGAAATGAAGGAAAATTGTTCGGATGAGAAAGACTGTGCAGCCGTTGTCCTTAAAATTTCAATATACATTATTCAGTTCGTTACTAGACTACACTTGATAATACTTTCATCATCACACCACTAAGGCATTATATATCTATATTCTCATTTACAGCCAACAGAGTGGGGAACCATGAGCATGTGTGATTCAGAAAGAAGACTGCTAGCCAATGCAATGCTTGATCTATCCAATGAATACTTCATCCTCTTGTCTGAGTCTTGCATTCCTATCCAGAACTTCACAACTGTCTATAACTATGTATCACAGTCGCAACACAGTTTCATGGGTTCATTTGATGAACCAGGCCCCTATGGAAGAGGACGCTATAATGAACACATGGCTCCTCTAATCAATCTTGAGGACTGGAGAAAAGGGCCTCAGTGGTTTGAAGTTAATAGGGAACTTGCAGTTAGAATTGTGCAAGACAGCGATTACTATCCCAAGTTCAGAGATTTCTGCAAACCACATGTTTGTTATGTGGATGAACATTATTTTCAGACCATGCTTACCATCAATACTCCTCACCTTTTGGCCAACAGAAGCCTTACATATGTTGACTGGTCAAGAGGTGGGGCTCACCCGGCAACCTTTGTAAAGGAGGACATCAAAGAGGAGTTCTTCAGGAAGATATTACAGCAGCACTCTTGCTCCTACAATGGCCAGCCATCTTCCCTTTGTTTCTTGTTTGCAAGAAAGTTTGCACCTGATGCCATTGATGCTATTTTAGATATAGCATCCAAAGCTCTGGGAATTTAAAAGACTAAAGTCCGGCATACAGAGATCAATCAAATTATTTATGAAAAGAAGCTTTGTAAATGTGTACGCATGATTGATTTGATGAGCCTGCCTTTGGTAAATCAAGTTTACCAAAGATTTTCCCCCTTTAGGTTTACATCTTAGTCACAAGTGATTTTGTCCGCTAGGTTGCAGAAATTCTGAGGTGCTTGTACAGGATGCAGGACATAAACTACTGTAGTTTATAGCATAGACATATTAATGATTTATTGAATTTCTAGTCAGCCACATGCAAACATCCAGTTTCGCGGAATTTCAATGGGCGGTTATGGTTGGCAGCATCTGTCCCTGTAATTTAGTCCATTCTTCTACTAGGCACGTTAAAAATTGTTTCCTGTAGTAGATCTAACCTAAGAACACAAAAAGTGGACGGACACATGATCTGGCATAGATAAGGAGAATGAGACTCTGTATGACATGTATCAGGCATTAACATGACTCTTTTTTAATGTCCAAACTTCATATATGGTAGACAACAGCTGAATAACCTGTAGTCCCACCTTCTTGTTACAGCAGAAACATAACAATTATGACGCAAGACACAAACCTAATTTAGTCCATTCTTCTATTGCTGTCCGCATCTTCATCTCAAGTTATTTGAAGAGGGGAGGGGGGCCAAGTTCATAGCCAGCGTTAAAATATTTAATAGACAAATGATACTGAAGTCGCAGACAATAACAAAGTCCATTATGATGATAATATCATAATCACGGACTTTAAAAATGAGAGGGTCATTTACTATTAAAGACATTTTTTCTAAGGTGAAAGATACAAACGAATAAACATTGCTGAGAGAACATTAGGATTCAACGGTAATGATTTTTATGCAAGCACCAGTGAAGGTGATTTGGGTTTGAATGCTTTACAACGTAACTGTGAAACAAGCCAAATCATTGCCTCATTGCTCCAAGAAATAATCCAACACTCGCTTTTAGTGATTACCAGACCTATAATTCATCATGATAATTACCTTCTACCACTGGCACATTCGGCTGAGACTTAAGAAGATAACTAGCTGCTAATGATGCATGGAGCGCAGCTCCATAAGGAAGTACATCTTCATTGATTTTGAAATAGGGTGAGTGTACGGATTCAAGCTGTTCAATCGAAGCATTTTCCATTCCAAGAAAGAAGAAGTAACCAGGCAGACTCTCTTGATAGAATGCAAAGTCCTCTGATCCCATCAATGGTTGCATTTCTTTAACTTTATTAATCCCGAGCATATCCCCAGCTACTTTTTGAAAATGCTTGTGCAGGTCACCATCATTAACAGCCGGAGGGAAGAAGGATTTCTCTTTGTCAAGAAAGCTAACTGTTGCGTTGCACCTCTGGACAGCAGCCTGCCCAGTAATAACCTGCATATGTGAGTCAGCATAGGCTCTTAATAGGATTGAATAGAAAAATGACAATAGGTTTTCAGTTGTTTTCTAAGTTTCACAATAGTTGGTATGGAAGGTGTTGAGAAAAATTCAAAGAGGAAATCTCCTAAGATTGTCTGATCTATAATCTAGTCACAGTTAATTTGATTGATGAATCATACAAGAAAGAATATGAAGCTTCATATCATGTTTACCATTAAACGGTTGCACTAGCTTATAAATAATTCTATGCATATGAATTGTGAAATACAGTGTTTTTCATCTCTAAACGTTCAAGTTGAGTTGTGCATAGCAAATTAACCAGTTATTCATGATATATTTATCATTAATTTAGGATAAATTTGTAAACTCAGTTGGTTTTATAAAATATTACATATGATTTTCAGCGTTTCCTACCAAGGTTTAAAAGCATTATACTTTTTCAAGTTGTTTGCAATCAAGTTAACTAAATTCAACAATCGAAATAAAGAAAACAAAATATATAATCATGCTTTGATGATATGCATACAAAAATTAAGATGACTTTAACGTTGTGCCCATAAACGGATTTATTATGGTAACGGACAAACCTGCTCAATCCGCTGTCTCAATTGCATGAAGCTTTCTTTTGAAAAAGCTCGGAAGGTGCCACCAATTGTGACTGAATCTGGAATAACGTTGAAGGCACCGCCTCCTTGAAATTTTGCTACAGTCACAACCTATGAGAATATATTTTTTCGTCAAGATGGAAAGGGTTTGCAATGTTAAAAGGAAAGTCCTCATGGGAAGCAAGACTTTCCTTGAATTCAATAATAAGTAATTACGAGATACAGATACATCACACATGAATGTTCGTGGATGCCAACAAACACATGCTTTTGGACGCAGAGAGAGAGTCCTCTGGGCGTAGATCCCACAATGGCATCAATTATTTTCCTTTGTTGTTGTTGACAAGGAATAGATACCAATATTGGAGGAGTTAAGCAATTTTCGGTCAAAAGGTAGGACTTAGATTTCCATTATTCCTTCCCATGCCTTTTTCACTGACAAGCATCCCTAAACTCAAGCTTTGCCCTGGCTGGTCTCGGATTCACATAAATTTTCCCATCCCACATGAACCGGATAATTATAAGGTCATACTGGATGCTCTGACTGGGAACTAGTGGACAGTTCCGCAACTCCAGAGTATTTTGCAGCCAAGTTAACCACTCAGTATTTGTTGCTTAAAAAGTACCGGTGTCCTTATTATATCCATTGACACGGTCTGTTACTGAAGTTGTTAGACTACCCCTATCATGTAAAATCTTAAATAAGTTACCAAAGAAAGATGACAAAAATTTACCACAACAGTAATATAAATTTTGGCGTTGCACATATAGCAGCCAAATCTCAGACAATACTAAAACCCACCTACGGGCAAAATACTTGTTAGGATCAAGTTCCAACTCACCAACCGCAGCAAATTCCTTTTACGGTCAGTCCTTAAATTTCCAGCAAGAGAAGTTATAAATGGACTGGTCAAGATTTATTAAAATAACCAAACCCATCTGAATCCTCATTCATGCTGCTCCTTCACTGACACAGACTCCTTAACTACTTTTATAGTTTCACTTCTAAGTTCTAACAACTCCTGTGATATTGCTTGCTTTTCATAAAGATGATTATCTTCTCATGAGAAAATCTATAGTCAGTAATAGCATAAGTAGAAGGCCTTAAAGATTCTACATTGTATACGATTGAATACAATTGCTTAATACTAGGAGAGAAAGGCCTAAGTCCCAGGGTCTTATCAGACCAAGGGGAGGAACAGATACGGAGATACTGTAAAGTGTATTCTTTTTCTTTTCAAGGAAGAAAAATTTCTGACGTTTATGCAAAGGAGTGATGTTGACCATAAAAAAGGTGAGTGGAAGCTAGGGAAGTCCCAATATTTTAAGAAACTAGATGGCTGACCTAAGGTCTATTATTGTTAGCTAAAACTTCGCTTTAACTTTACTTTATTCTTCAGGGTGTGCAGACATAGAACAAGAACAGTATAAATGAGTGGTCAATGACAAGGATAATGAAGTAAAACAAATTTACCTGGGAGTCCAGAGGATCAGCCTCACGAGAAACGAGATGTTGCAAGCTAACAATCACATTGGAAGCAGCCAATATGGGGTCTATTGTATGTTGGGGAATAGCTGCATGACCTCCCTTTCCACTAATTACTGCTTCGAAGAAGCCACTTCCTGCCAAAAATGGACCAGACCTAGAGGCCACTTCACCAATAGGTAATGCAGGCGCGATATGCAATCCAAAGATGGCAGCGATATTTTCTAAAGCCCCAGCATCTAAAACTTCCTTAGCCCCTCCACCACCTTCTTCTGCTGGTTGGAAAACAAGCACAACAGTTCCCTATTTGAACAAGAGAATAAATGATATCATAAATCCATGAGAGAAAGAAAACAACAGAATTGGTCAGTTCAGTACACGTAGTAGACATGGGTGACTGTCCCGGCATAGTTGAATCATTAGGAAGCCAACTTTTCCTTCCATATGTTCCATATGTCAGAATTTAGCAATGATAGCTAAATCGTTTTCCTTTCATAAGTTGTTTGCCAGATGATAGAATGGTGTTAAAAGACGGTTGGCAAACCGGGGAACATGATTCAAACTAAAAAAAAAAAAAAGGGGAAAAACATAGGCACACAAAAGCACCAGAAGGACCGAATTTCTTGAATACATGGAAAACAAGAGTAGTGATCTCACATGCGCATTCTAATAGTAAATCAGAAAAGCAGCGTGTCGCTAAAAAGATTAACAGATCATGGGTTCAACTTCAATTAAGTGAAAGTAGATGACGCTATATAATTGCTTGTACCGTATACAAATCTACAGTTTATTTTTCATCATGGCTGGGTTATCAAACACTGTGCTTTGGACTTTGAAGGATTATCTTCCTAGAGCATAACGTCAAGAAAGAAAAAAGAAACAAAAAGGTTTTTTTTTGATACACAAAAGAAATAAAAATCTTAATATAAGGAAGCGTACTTTTATATCTTTTTCATGCTCTTTGAGGATCTTTGCTGCACCAAGAAGCATCGCAACATGAGCATCGTGTCCACAAGCATGCATCTTTCCAGGTACTTTACTTTTGTGCTCCCACTCCACCATTTCCTAAAGATAATAAAAGCATAAGTAAAATATAGAATACACAGTGTCCTCTAGGAAAGATGGACCAAGAAACTAGAGAGAAACGAGGGGCTATAATGAAAAATTGACAAGCAAAATGCATATCACTTCAAATCTCACCCGAAGACCAACCTATACTAGTGCTAGAGTTCCAACACCATATAAGCAAACATGCAGTAAGATATTTATGGAAAAAAAAAAAAAAAAAGGTCTTGCATCCTGCACAGGAAGAGAATCCAGACCCAGAAATTAGACTGAGAAGAGCAACAACAAAGTTTTGAGTAAAGAAAAAGCCTTTAAAAAGTGCCAGAATTCCAAAACCAAGCGAGCATAAATTCATGCAAGGGGGGGGGGGGAAGGAGTGAAATTTGTATAGACCTGCATAGCAAGAGCATCCATATCGGCTCTTATTGCAACAAAAGGAGGCCGTCCGGAACCTACGAAGCCAATAACGCCAGTAACTGCAACAGGGTATTTATAAGAGATACCCAATTCATTCAATTTCTCTCTTATCAGTTCACTGGTCTTAAATTCCTCATAACCCAGTTCAGGGTTCTCATGAATCTTCCTTCGAATTTCAATCATCCAATCCAAAACCCCTGGCTTTTTGGCTTGTTCTAAAAACTCAATGGGAATTGCTGATAATGGATCGTTTGAAACCAAGGAGGAATCTGATAAGACGAGTGTTGCAGCAAAGAGATAAAACAAGACGATCAAGCAGACCCACTTGAAGAAACCCATGTTTAATTTGGGGTGTCGGAGCCTGGAATGGAGAAATTCAAACGAGAAAAATCAGATGAATCAGAGAAGCATGGATCATAAAAATTATCAGAGCTAGCTAGTAAGTCCCAAAGTTGACCAACAGAACTTGGAAACGAGGCGTCTCCTGAAGAACATAAAATATTGTGGTCTGAGTTTGTAAGAAGATGAAGGGAGTCCCACCCAGCCGCAACACGTGCAACTTCCATTTCATCACGTTTCCCAAGTCAGTTTCGGTCTGGTTCACGCCCATAACCGGCCATCAAGTCTTCTGCCTTTGGAGATACTTTGGAGTGGATTTGACTCATCATGCATCTGTTTTCTAATTCAATCACAACTAAGAAAAAAATTTACCTTTCGTTCCCGTAATCTAATCTAATATTGTCCTTACGCGGATTAATAGCTGGGAAAATGAAAAAGTTAGGAATTATAATATTCTAATTCAAACACTTGACCTAAGATATCAAAATCTCATAGTAAGTGATACTCGATTTGATATTTTATAAATATAATTAAATAAAAAAATAAATAGCAAATAATAATAATAATAACGACAAGTTATTTATTAATAAATTATGAATTGATAATAATAAACATTAAATAAATAATAACAAAAAAATAGAGGGTAATAACAAGTTTGATATTTTTTTTAGAAAATGTTATACAAGAATATTTTAATTATTTGACTACATTTACAAAATATTATATTAGGTACAATTTTTTTTTGTGACTTTAATATTTTAAGTTCTTGAATTAAAATATTACAATTTTCAAATTTTTTATGTTTTTTTTGCCCTTAAAAGTTCTTAACTTTTTGCATCGCAGTAAATTCTGTGCGGTGGGGGTTATATTTTAACTTTTAACTGAGAACATTGGCGACTTTGACATCCACGACGAAAGGACAATTCTCTCATCATGAATCATATTTACGTGAAAGAGTTGAGGTATTACAGAACTCCGTTTTTTCCAAAGACATCATCATTGACCGGCCAAAGATAATAAATTTTACGGGAAAAAAATTAGTCAATATACATTCTAGTTGGTAAACTAAATAGGCTCATCCAAAATGTTAAAAGCTTATTACATTAAAGTTGAAAAATAAAAGTTAATGGAGGTGAAGCTTAATTAAAAAAAAGGCTAGTTCATAATTTAAAGAAGTGGTCAGTATCCAATCCTATTTCAAATATGATTAATCTTAAAAAAAATCACAAATAAAGACCGTAAAATTAAAAATTACAAATCGGGACCTATCACAATATTAGTATGGGTTTTGACAACAATTTTTGTGAACAGTCCCTGTATGTAATTTTTCTAATTTCACAATCTTTATTTGTGATTTTTCCTAATTTTAATAAAAAGATGCTGTGTGAAAAAAAATTGAGAAATAATTAACATACGGGAATTTATATGATTTTTTTTCCGCCTCTTTTATTGATAACATCATGTGATTAAAGTTAACCACGAGGATTTTCTGTCCAAAAAAAAAAGTTAACCACGAGGATGATTGTGTTTGACCCGGAAAACCCTCTTGTGGTGTTAGGTTCTTGTGCTGTTCATTGTGATTTGATTGACGTGTTGGTGTCATCTGATTTTTAATATATTTATTTAAATTTAAATTTTGTAATTAAATTCTTTTTTTTTTTTGGTGGAGTGTGGTTAAATTCCTATGATCGATGCGCTGGGTCCTAGGGTGTTCCTGATTACTACCTTCGGTCCTAATTATAAGACCCAATTGATTAATTTGAAGAGATTAATGAAAGAAGTTAAGTTAGTTATTTGTAATAAATATATATTGTCTTTTCTAAAATATCCTTATTAATCAACTATATTGGCTAAGACTACAATTATAAGAAGGACTATCTTGGAAAAAAATAGATAAATATGAGAAACAAAGTAGATTGGGATCTTATATTTAGGACCAAAATAAAAGTTAAACAGGATCTTATATTAAGGACCGGAGGTAGTATTTTATTGGCCAAGTGGACCCCATGGCCTAGGTAATGAAGATGACTCATCCTACGGAAGCATTACGGCAAATAAATTACACACGTGTTAAAGATGCATGTAAAAGCTCAAAGCCAACAATTGGCCTAAGGGTCAGACCATCAAATCAACAAGCACATGTAAAATATGTTAATTATATTATCAACCTGAATCAACTGCGTCCAATTTTAAGTTAATTTGTGTGATCACGTCGTTCATAACCTATTTATGGTATCTCTCTGTCATAATAAAAAACAAATTATTGTTATCTTAAAATTTAAACTAGTTTTTTTTGCACTTTTATCTCATTAAATATGTACTTCTTATTATATCTTTAAAATAAATTTTCAGTTATTGTCTTTCATGTCTTCTCTTTACAAATAATGATATAATTAGACAAATGCGTATATACGTTACGGATTTATTAATTAAGTTTATTGAACATTTTGAATTGTGTGATTTTGATAGTTATTTTTTTTTATAAGAAAAGGCAGGAGAGTATTGATTTTCAAATAACTTTTTTTAATTAGCATCTTTTTATTTTTGTTGTACTTATTAATTTTAAAAATATGAGGTAAATTTCATTGAATTATGATAAAATTTTCCAGTCAAAAGAAATAGGATAAAATTTCAATTTCTTTTACACAAAAATATTTCAATTTTTTTAACACACAAATATCTTCTTAATCTTCTAAAAAGAGGTGATGATATCTGAAATACCGTAGTCGAGCGTAAATATTCGTTCCAAGATTATTCTGAAAAGGTACACATCAACAATGCATACAAATCCACCAACAGAAAAATAGCATCTTTGATTTGGATCGCACAAATTGAGCTGGCCCTCCTGACCTTTTGACATGAAGACAAACACAAGTCGACCAAAAACTGAGTTGCATTTTTATTAATATTTTAAATGTAAATTTTTGACATGATGGTATGAGATGTTAAAAATTCCTAGAAACTAAACCCAGACCCATCAAAATGCAGAAACAAATACTACCTCCATTTCTAAATATGAGAATTAATTAATTAATTTGAGTAAATTAAAAAAATTAATTAAGTTACTTATTTATAATAAATAAATATTATCTTTCTTAAAATATTTTTACTAATCAAATTTATTGATTAGAACCACAATTATTAGAAGGACTATCTAAGAAAAAAATAAATAAATACTACATTTTACCCTTAATATAAGACCTTATTTGATTTTTATTTTAATCCTAAATATAAAGCTCCAATCCACTGTGTCTCTCATATTTATGTATTTTTTTTCAATGCAGTCCTTTTATCATTGGTAGTTCTAGTCAATACACTTGATTAGCAAAGACATTTTAGAAAAGACAACATATATTTATTACAAATAACTAACTTGACTTCTTTTTTTAATCTCTTCAAATTAGTCAACTAGTTCTTATAATTAAGACCGGAGATAGTATAATAAACAATATAAATTAAGATCTTATATTTAGAAACAAAATAAAAATCAAACAAAATAAGAATCGAAGGCAGTGTAAATTATTGCGAAACTAGTTAAATTCAGTATAATCTTAAATATGACACTCTAATTCATTTTGTCTTCCACATTTATTCCCCCCCCCAAAATAGTCCCATAGTAATTATACATGCTAAAAAAATTTCATTCTAATACACATTATTAATAATAATATTCATTTATTACAAATAACTTAACTAATTTTTTAAAAATTTGCCAATTAATTATCTAATTTTTATATTGAGAACTGGAGTTAGTAATTAATAATATGAAAGAGTAACTTAAAAAGGCAGACTTAGAAAGATATAATATTTGACAAAAATAATTACTTGGGAAGAAATGAAAAATGAAGTTTTAAATGTAACACGGACACATGCACAACCGGCTGTCAGAAGAAGTGACAAAAAGAAAGATGTATGGATGAGGGGAAGACCAGGGAGGCAGGGAAGCACAACCCTGGTTGCAAAAACACCCTCTCATGCATGCCGATTTATGCCTCATGAACAAAGCCAACAAGAAATTGATACTAGGATCTCTTGCAGCCGAAAGGAGAGGCATTTAAATACATTCAGCAGCAACAAGAGATGCTGATGTAATATGTACAATGGAATATTTTCTGTTAATGACTCACCTTGTTTCGTTGTTGGAACATAAATTCGCCATAACTACGGCCCGCTTGTCAGATAACAAGTTCAAATAAAAATTACATAAGCTATCAGTGAACATTAACGTTTGTCTATACATAATCATATCACACAGGTTTAGCTGGCATACCCATTTTAATATGCTGACAAATAATACAGTGGAAAATATCATACAGATAACCGACAGAATATATACTACCTCCTGTTCTAATTATAAGATCTCATTTATAGACTATAAACAAAATCTCATAATTAGGACAAGAGGTAGAATAGTGCTTGGCAATGTTTTAGAAGGATTATTTTCAGAATAAAATTCCCCGGTTTCACAATTCCCCAAATCATTTACAATAAATCGTAAAGATTCACCACATTTGTGCTATGACTTACCCCAACCAAGATTCAATTGTGAAAACCAAGATGCACAAAACAGAAACTCATTTATCAAGACACACACTTCACAGCACTAAAATGCGGAAACTAAGCATCAAAATCAAACTACGAGGTGCAGAAAAAACCTAACACTAGTTGAAAGAAAAGAGAACTAGACTCCTCAATCACTTTGAAGCAGCGAGCATTCACATCATGCAAGTCAAAAAGCATTATATGATTAATCACGTTCGATATATTTATTTAGAAAAGAAGTCCAAATTATGAATGCTTTCATTTTGCAGGCATCAATCTCCACAGGTCAAGCATAATGTCAACATAAACCAATAACATATTGGGTACTTTCTGCACGAACTTTAGAACACCTTCACTATGAACCCAGATATTTACCAAGATTTTTTTTTTGGGGGGGGGGGGGGGAGATTGAGATGGGATTGTGCTATACAAAGTTCACGCCACATAAAAGATTAGCATACTAAGAACCTAACGAATGAAAGAAAAACTTCAGAGAAGAACAACCAGGACAATGACTATCTTGAAAGCCAACTTTTCGCACTTTACTCGCCCAGTCTCAGAGATATACCACCACAATATCATGTTTCCTAGGAAAATTATAATTCACCCTCCATAATCTTGACTTATTTTAGTCATTATAATATAGAGTTTCACGAACCACAATATCACATGAAACAAATTTCTTAAAAAGTCGCCAGCAAGACTCTCTGAATTATGAAATCTATATTTAGCATTTTAGAATCAACTCTCTCTGTCAACAAAATAGGTTTCCATTTCTTAACCAAAAAAAAGTCTCCACTTATATCATCCTGACCAAATCAGCGCCAAAATTACAAGAGAAACAACTGACACATCCAATCCTCCTGAAAACTTCCAAGGACTTCTTAGATTACCCATCCTACTAATTTCATGCAGGGCATTATCAGTATCACTATAGAAATCAACCTCCATACTAAATAAACAATGTAAATGCCTTTAAACAATTTTGTTTCAAAAACTCAGCATTTCCTTAGATTTATAATGATAATGCCGCTGTAGTAGCCTCTCAAACTTCACAAATGTCTTAGCCAGAAGTTACTAGAAATTGGAAACCCGTTCGATCAGATTCACATTTCAATACGTCACTCCTAACATCACAGACATATACTCTCTAAATCTCTAATATACACAGAATCCTCATTCAAATTGAGGATACAGATAACAATCAGATTTTAAAAGCTCACATCACCGCAGTCAATATACAAACCAACCAAACCGTAGCATTAAGCGCAGGGCATCGAAATCCCAATGCAAAATCTACATAATGACCAAGAGCGAGATTCAGTTTAATATACACAAATCACTCATCCTAAGGATAGTGTTTCATGGCTAGAACTCCCAGTCACTATGATGATTACAAAATAGCATATATATTGCAGTCATAAACTCAACATTCCAAAGGCAATAACAATATATCTTTTAACCTCTAGCCTTAAGTTCGGCAAGCCGCCTAGACAGGTCATCTTCGTCGACCTTCTCAGCCTCTTTAGTGGGCACTGCGTGCGCTGCGGGCTGTGGCAGACCAACCGAAACCTCAAGGCCATAATCATCGGCCACCTGTTGCATCAAGCTGTTGACTTCCCCTTCAGGTGTAGATAAAGATGTGGATCCAGCCATGGAGCTCTCCATAAACTCCGCCTGAACCTCCATGTTCACAAACTGCTTCTCAAATTGGTCCATGGTCTCCGACATCTTCTGGAGATTACCGGTAGCCAAGGAAGATTCAAGGGACTTGACAATATTACCCATAGACTTGCTGATGGTATTCATCTTGGCTTGGGTATCAAGCCGAGCCACGACGGCGTCCAGCCGAGAGGCAAGCCGCAGATAGTTCATCTGCTCGGTTCGTTTGCGTATGGCGTTCTCAGCGTAGATGCGAGCACCATCCATGTTGTTTTTCTCGATGGCTTTCTTGACCTTGAGCTTCTCGGCCTTCTCTTCCTTTTCGCATTTACGGGCTTGGCGCTGAAGGGATTTTGAGGTGAATTTCAATTCCATAATCTGGTTCATCAGCTTCTCCGTGTTGCCCATGATTTCCTCCCAACTCGTTACCTAGTTGGTAAGATCAAGACCAAAAATTTCAAAAGTACGGAGAAATCGCAAGATCAGCTAGGGTTTTTCGATCAATTTGGGGGAAGAAGCCGAAAGAGCGTCTATTTATGATGCCGTTGGGGAAAATGCCGTTAGAAAAAGGCCGGACTGATCTGAAAGCGTGTTTTTATTTGTTATTATTTTTTTTCCACCAAAAAAAAAAGGCTGTTTTCAAGTATAATTATACAGATCACTTATTTGGATCCTGCGTAGGATAATTGGGCTATCCACCATGGGCCCACATTCACTTGACATGGGCCAAGCCTCTATCATGGGCCGGCCCTTTACAAATGGTAAATTAGGGTTTGGCATCTTTGAGTATAAATCACAAAACGTAACTTAAACCCTTTCACCCTCCCCGGAGCCTCCCGCGTCAAAGCTTTGACGAGCGAAAGCCAAGCAGGTTCGCTTCTGAGTATGTGATCGAGATCCCGTGCCTCTTGAATTTGGTCGGAAATTTTATGTGAAGTAAATTGAATCTGTTGTGGTGCATTTGCAGGTGCGGAGAAGATGGCCACAGTACCAGGGCAGCTCGTGTGGGAAATTGTGAAGAAGAACAACTCTTTCTTGGTGAAGGAGTTTGGTAGGGGGACTCAGAGCGTGCAGTTCAGTAAAGAGAGCAACAATCTCTACAACCTTAACTCTTTCAAGTACTCTGGTAATTGTTCTTTTTGTTACGACATTTCTGATCAACTTATCTTGCCCGGCTGAGTTTTGATTTGCATGGTATTAGATTGGGAGCGTACTGGGATTTGCGTAAATGGATAGTAATTTCGGAAATCTTATATCCCCGACAGATGTGGGAGGTTTCCTAGTTTTTATTTGTCAACTGCTGTGCTAAAATAACAGCGAGAAATTTGAGGATATTATAGATTGTCGATCTCAGTATAACTTCATTGCTGAATTCTGCATTGGTTACAGATATGAATATTTAGTGATGAAAGTGGCAATGTTGCCAAAACCAATTATTGACGGAGCTTGAGTTATTATTAGTATAAAAATTGCATTTTCATATATTGTTCTCTTAGTCTTGTGGGGTAGAAAAAGCTCATCTTGAGGTGGTTTTATATTGGAAAATTTGGACTTGCAGAATTCTAGTGGTTCACTGGGTTATGCATTAAGTTTGTTTTAACCGCTATTATAGGTCTTGCAAACAAGAAAACTATTACTATTCAGCCTAGTGGCAAAGATCAATCTGTGCTGCTGGCAACGACCAAGACAAAGAAGCAGAACAAGCCAGCTGCATTGCTTCATAAGTCTGTCATGAAAAAGGAGTTCAGAATGATGGCAAACGCCATAAAAAACCAGGTATTTTAAAAAAATCATAATAATGTTGTGGTTCAGAGACTTTTCCAAGGCTTTTGATTGTGCATATTTATGGCGTACCTTCTGAGTAATTGGTCTTTGCTATTTCTAAAATGCCAATGCCAATTGTCTTCCTTTCCATGCTTCAGATCTATGGATTTTCACTTTGAAGCTTCCGAGAGAATTGGATCAAAATTATTTTAACTGTTGCATTCATGCATTATGTCAATCGAAGTAGCTGAATGTCAATTGAAAATCCCGGTTTACTTTCTTGGAAAAGATGTTAAAAAGAATCTCCTGCTTTTACGTCTGTGAATGATGCGTTGTGCGGGAAATACAACCAACTGTCCCTAGGGGCACATTGGAGGGTTCTTTTTATAATGGAAAAACTACGTAATTCCATTGTAGACATAGTAATTTGTTGCAATATATGATTTTGTGGGGGATTTGTATGATTGTTCAGGGAATTTGTATCTTATTGTTTTCCAGCAAAGCTTGGTTTTTACAGCTGTGATGAGCCGCTAACACGTAAGAAGAATCCCTAGTTGGGTTTCTTCTGTGAAATATACTTGTTACGCTTGGCTTCTGAGCTTCTATCATTCAAAAGTTATATGTTCTATGTGCTCTTTGGATTCCTTTTTATTTTTTGTTGATGATTGATAATTAACGGGCCATGAACTCACTATGTGTGGAGTTTTTGCCTTTTTCCACCTTAATTTATTTAGCAGTTGCTTCATTTAATCAACTTTACAATTTGTATTGCACTTCATATATTTCCAACTTTGTTAAAGTCAGATATGCCATGAAATATTGCAGGTGGCAGACAACTACTACAGGCCTGATCTTAAGAAGGCAGCCCTCGCGAGGTTGAGTGCTGTTCACAGGAGCCTCAAAGTGGCCAAGTCTGGTGTTAAAAAGAGGAACAGACAGGCTCTGAGGATTGCTGGTAGGAAGTGAATCAAGAAGTTATATTGCAGCCAACCCCCATTTTGCCCCTTGTAGTTTCATTGTTGTTTCTCCCCCCTGAGGATTGCCTCTTGTAGTTGCCAAGTCTAGATTGAGTTTTGTTACGGTTGGCGAATTTTTTTTATTCTTAATTTTGGATCGAAACTACTATGTTAGAGCATGTGACTTGATTGATTTGCTTGCATCATGATAAAATTACTGCAATTGCTTTTTGGCTATTGATATGATATAATATAAAATGGCAATGTAAAGCTTGATATTGTATCAAAAGAAGGGACTTCCGGTTAAACGGTACCAGGAAGGCCAATTATTGGTTCTCTTCAATGCTTTGAAAACAAATAGGTTATTAAACCAGTCAAGCCGCTTTATTTGATGCAAGCTGGTTAATTCTTTTCATTCTTTCTTTGCCGTTGTGGTGACGAAAGAAAGAAGTTAAAAGGTAAGGCACGTTATCATAGTTTTAATCTCATATGTCTTGTCATGTATAAAATTTTTGACCCTGCGAAATTGAATTGATGAATTCTTGTTCTTGACAGCACCTCAATTACGCGTCATAAATATTTCTCTTCGCCGTGCCCGCCTAGGGTCTTGGTGGCGTGCACCCTAGTGGGTTGGATTTATTTGCTTATGGTTTTATTATTACCTGTTTAGGGTTCTGTCATTTTCCTAAATGCCTTTTTTAATCTTGTCAAGTCACCGAGTTTTATATGGTCAAGTTTAAACGAAATCAACTAAGGAAAATGTCTTAAAAGGGTTGCTCGTATTTTTGGAGAAACTCGGGGTAGATTTATATTACTCGGGTATGACTGATTTTTATATCACATATAAATGTATATACAGACTAGAGGCCTGTTTGGGTGCTCTGAAACCGTGTTTCAGAAGCACTTTTCCGCAAAACGAGGTAACCTCCTCCACATATTTACTTCGTATAAACATGACTAGGTGGCGGAGAGAGAATATCTATCAGATGTTGCCCCCACAAAAGAGAATATATTAAACATTGAAAGCTAAGCTTCAACTTACCCTACTATGGTGTTGACTATCGCATATGAAAAATGTTTTTGTGGGGATTATATTCTACTTCCTGAATTAATACCCAATATAAAACTATATCAATTTTAAAACGAAACAAATTCTTATAAACAAAGAAAAGTTAATTACTTTCTTACTCGGGATTGAAGTATTTGTCTTTCTATAACTGATACATTAAAATCATTAGAAGGGTTTCATGGAAAGTGATAAAAGATACATTTTCTCCTTTAATAAAATTTACATAATTAAAGATCAGGCAAAAAAGCACAGGTACTTAAATTTACATAATTAAGGTTCCTTCTTCCAATCAAACTAAAAAAAAAAAAAAAGTTGAATTTTTTGTGCTTATCATTTATCCCAATATTGACTACTGTTATTGTTCCCTTCGGTTCATTTGCAAATTTAAAATAAACTTATTTCAACTTGATTTAGAAAATACATTAAATATGCAAGTTTAAGCATTTATTAATGATTAATTATCCTATCGGAATATTATTTAGTTAGGCTTAGGCACCAGTTGTAACTTTTTTTTTTTTTTTGGTGACAAAGGTAGCCTAAGCTAGAATTACATTGGTATCCATCTACAGGCACCAGTTGTAACTTGTTGATCAATCAAAATGCATTGTAGAGATGCTGACAAAGTCAAAGGGTCAATGAAAGCAAAAGAACACCACGCATTAGAATACTATGATTACTTGCCTTGCTGCAATTGACTTTGCCTTATATAAGACCTGGTTCTGTTTGTCTGCTGCATAATATATAGTGTCAAACCATTCTGGCTGCGGTTGCCGCTTGAACAATTAGCAGCCATGTCGGTAAAGAAATCTGCCTCTACCAACGGTGACAAGGCCACTGGAGCTGTAGACAAAGCTGGGAAACGACGGCGTTTCAACCGGCGGCTCTCATTTGCAGAAGTATCTCTGGAGCCAGGCAAGCAGCTGAAGGACATGGATTCCAACAAGCTGAAGGCTGAGATCAGGAGATGGGCTAAGGCTGTTGTGAAATATGCCCGCCAAGTCAGCGGCCGGTTTGGAAGCTCCCGTGGCAAATCTCAGACATAAGAAGTGATTTTGTGCTGTACAAGGTAAACATTTGAGCTGAGTATTGTCTCATAAAGCGCAAAAACGCTTTTTTCTGAAGAGTCCCCAATTCTGTGAGAACAGATTGTGAATCGAAGAGATCAGATTTATTGATTGAAGATGAAACAGATTGGTCAACTTGCTTGAGAGAGATTGTTGTGTATATGGATGTTGCTGCGTGTGATATGAATAATTCTTTCATTTATTTATTTGTTTATTGTTTAGGGTCTGTTGTAAGTTTGATTCTTCTGCTATGGAAGAAGGATAGAATCCTATATGACGAGAAGGGTGTGAAGCTGCATCTCAAAGCATGTAAAAGTTTCAGCAGCAGATGCAAAGGATATATTCTGCGCATTACATTCTAACCATGTGGTTCATAATGGCCTAATAGCTAAAGAGAATAAATAAGGTTAAAAAGAAAATTATTAACTCTTAAGTACTACTCTTCCGGTCCTTAATATAAGAAATAAGATATGTTTTTCTTAAAATACCATAATCATCTTTCTTAATATCTTTCCTCTCTCTTTTACTTGATTATGGTTGAGGGAGTATTCATAGAGATAATTTAGAAAAGAAAATTGATAAATATGAGAAATAAATCTTATATTTAAAATCAAAATTAACTCAATAATTAGGTTCTATATTAAGGACCAGAGGAGTACCATCAATCTTCAATTTAAGAACTAGTTAGATATTCAATTTAGTTATAAATAAAAAAACCTAATCCACTTTGTCCTAATATTTATTCATTTTACCCTCAAGTAATCCTAAGGTGATTGTATATATTAAAAAGTTTTCATCAAAAGGTATTTTTAATTCAAATTATTAAGAGGGGTAATTTAATAAAAATAAAATCTATTTATTATAAATAACTAAGTTAATTAATTTTTTTAATATTCACAAATTAGTAAGGGTGTTTATGGGACAGGACGGGACGGGACAGGAATGACTTCGTCCCAGTCCTGTCCCACTAATTGGGACGGGACAGCTTTCTCATCTCGTGTCCCGTCCCGTCCCAATAGCGAATTGGGACGGGCGAGGAACGTCCCATCTCTCTTTTTTTTTAATTTTTTTTATTTTTTCAATTTGAAAACTAAAACTATAGGAAATATGAAAACTTATCATAAAAACTATGTGAAGAAAATAGATAAAAATGAAGAAACAATGACAAAGAAAAATATTTTTTTGTAGTAATGAGAGATAAAGAATAAACAAACCTAAAATATTTAATACAACGAATATCATGTAACTCATACAAAAACAACTTATAAAAAAATAAAAAATAACAATTGATAAATATCATTATTAAAATACTATTACAGTAGTAAATAAAATAAATTTATAACAACTAAGAATAAAGATGATATACTGAGACGAGACTAGGACAGGACACCCCTGTCCCACGTCCCGTCCCGCTTTCATTCCGTCTCAGAAAACTTTTGGGACGAGATTGTCCCGTCCCAAAATGACTAGGACAGGGACAAGACGTTGGGACAGGACACAGTTGAACACCCCTACAAATTAGTTATCTAACTTTTATATTAATGACAGAAGATACTATTATTTAAGTGCATTTTAGTTGGCCAAAAAATTTCTTCCTCCATTACCTATTGTACGGGCGTGTGGCGGATAAAGCAATTGCACATATTGAGAACCGTCTGGGTCTAACAAAGTACTTTCAACATATTTTATTAAAATTAAGAAAAATATTAAATCTTGTTAATCATGTTTTAAATTTTAGTAATTTTTTAATGTTATTGTTATTTAATATATATGCTTTCAAGAAAATAATAATTTATGGAGTAATAAATCATGGATAAAATTACACATTCATATATTAAATTTAATGAGGTGATTTGGAACCCAAAAAAAAAAAAAAACTCTTTCTATCCTGTAAATAAGATCAAGACCAGAGTATATTAAATATCATTCTTTTTTCCATTTTAAATACTATACAAAGTTTCTTTCTCTATCAAAGTAATCAAACAATAATCATTCAGCAATTTATCTTCTATATGGTTTGGCTTCTGTTTCTTGATAATATTTCATAGCAGAGAAAGCCATTTCAACTAAAAGCAAATGCACACAAGGAAGTAATTCAGTGTTTACTTTTGTGAAACGATTATTCAGCTCTTGAAGTTGTTGATCAATGGCTTGATGGAATAATTCAACTTGAAAGTGTATGTAAAATAGAAACTTTCTCCTTTCTGCGCCTTCATCTTCCTTGCATTTGCATGATAACAAGAAAGTTTTAGCCTAATCTAGGATCACTAGGAAGCTTTTCTAAATCAAATTCCAAAAATCTTTTCTTTTCATTAGGTGCTTGATAAGATTGTTGTTTTTATGCTGCTTTTCTTTTGGGAAAATTTTTTCATTCTAAGAAGCCTAAAAAACCCAAATTGCATTTCAAAATCTAAATGATTTATTATAATAGATAAATAAATACAAAGTAAAGAAATCAAACAAAAAGTATGTGGCCCACTCCCCAACCTTTAAATCAGATCTTTTGAGAAGAAAGTTGAAAGAAAAAGCCAAAATCCTTGAACCACAAAATGACAAAATACTTCATTAAACTATTTTCAGTATTACTATTAATCTATTCTCTTTTTTTTTTTTTACCAAATACTATTAATCTATTCAATGTATTGACTTCTGGAGACGAGTTAAAGGAACTGGAGTCTGGAGACAGGTCCGCTTGGGCGCAAATAGCCTCTGGCTCAGACTTCCACGATGGTTAATGATACTCCAACTATGATAGATGATATCATGGTCTAAAAAGTTAGCTTAAGAAAGCTAGGAGGCCCAAGAAAGTAATATGATCACTCACATACATAATTATATGTATTTTTTATATATTTTTTCAGTTACATCGAGTATCCTGTTTTTAAAAGTAAAAAGTACTCTTGCACTATAAATAACATTAAAATATTAGATGCAAAAAAATAAATAAATAAAATTAGAGTGCTTAAGCACTTTTATCCTTGTATATATTAAAGGAAATTTAAAAATTTGGTGATTAGCCCTTGCATGAAAAGGTTGCTTTAAGACTGATCCAGAAGCTCCCACAAGTTCATTTCAGTTGTAAAATTTGAAGTGATAAAGTTTAGGATCCGAGTACAATATGAATTGTCAAAGTTATTTGAGCTTCCTGAACAGCTAAAACTAAAAAGAGAACCTAATATCAGGTCACCAATACCTAATACTTGATCATCTTTACACCTCAGCTAATGTTACATTATATACATTGCCAAAAGAAGCCTCAGATGATTTAAACCCTATCAGGTCTACACGGAAATATCCTCAAATTGTACAAAAGATTTCACCTTCATGGCAGAGTTAAGTGCTGCTGCAAACTGTGCATTGTTAAAATAAGTAGAAAATTTCTCTAATTACGAATGGAACCAGTTCTCCATACAATCCATTCTCTGCAACCTCTTTCCACACTCGAGTCAAATCAAGGGTTGGATGTTGGTAACACACGGTGTGTTGACCGGGCTTGACCATTCACTGCCTCATTTATCCTACTAAAAACCACTTTCAGGGGTATACATGCTATAACAGGACCCCTTGGCTTATCCACCAAAGGTTTTCGATCCTCATCAGATTGCCTGTGACCGGTTAGTGATGACAATTTCCTGATCTTTTTGGACAACAGCCCGGATTTTTTCGATCTGGAAGATTTTCCAGGTGAAAAACGAGGAGAATTCTTGGGATGAATTATTCCTGTCACTGTGTTTGGCTTAGCAGCACAATAAATGTCACCAACTCCAGAGACACATCTGATGCCATACAGTAATTCATCACACTGACCATCACCGAAAGTCTCGACTGTAAGAGGGTGCCCAACAATCGCTTTACCATTCAGTTTACTCATGAGAGAAACCAGAGGTACATGTTGTGGCCTATAACTGGCTTTAACCTCAATTTTAACTTCATATAATGAAGCATCAGAAAAATAATTTCTACCAGGGAAATCCACTGTTTGATATCTTGAATTGACAGTAAAGCGGGATTGGCGATAAGGAAGTGATCTTTGAGTCATGAGTGATCCATCAGGAATCAACTTCGCCCCAGTTGTTATCCCCCTTGTATGCTTGCTCATGTCATGAAATGCATCAACATGACTTTCAGCAACTGGTTTGCACTTAGCCTGAGAGGCGCAATTGTATGAAGCAGCAGGTACACTTGAGACATTTAATTCAGCTTTAGAACCAGCAACCCGAGAAAACCCATCTGGCTTCTCAAGACCTCCCAAATAAGCAGTGGGTTCATTATCCATGTCCACAAATTTTCTTGAGCCTTGCTTTCTATGTTTACTTCTATGTCTAGAGTTCCTCTTTCTTTTTGACTGCCACTTTGAACTACTTTTTTCAACTCTATGGCCAATAGTATTGTGAGCATTGGGGCTAGTAGGATCAGATTCGTGCTGGCCATCCTCTTGCAACGATCGTGAATCAGATTGACTACCATGAAAAGATTGTTGTCCAAACCTAGCAACTTGAGGCTTTCCTGATGAACAAGAACCAAGAATGGGAGAGAAACCTGAAAGATGGAATTACATCAGCACTAGGAAAATTGGAGACCCCAGGAATTTTAAAGGTTCAAACCATAGATTCAAAACATACAAGGGTGCACACACGCAGCATGGCTACATGCAAGCAGGTCCACAGAAAAGGAACAATAATGGGGAAAAAAGATCTAAACGAGGAGGAAAGTGGCAAAAGAAGGAAAGAAAGTTTAATTACACCAACATTGACCTATTTGATCACTCAGTTAATACTTCAGATCTAGACCAGGAAGGCTACTCTACTTGAAACCATCAATTTGTGCCATAACTTTGGGAGACCAGACCTTGAAAACCAATAGAAGCAGTTCAAAAACTTCAAAAAGGGAGATGTGTGCACAACAACAAGAGGAGGCCTTATCCCACTAGGTGAGGTTGGCAAAAGGAGAGATGTGTGTTTAAACAAATTATAATATAAGTACGTAATAATTAAAGTCGATTAAATGCAAGTTAGAAATCCCACCAAAAAAAAAAGAATACCTACCACCCATATTGATGCATTAGTCAAACGACCTGATTCACCAAGACGGGCAAAATGCCATAAAAAGGGAAAAATAATCATTCCTAACAAAAAAAGTTAAAGGATGATGGTGAGATAGGAAACATTCAGAATTTCATCCAGCCAATGCCCATGCCCAAGAAAATCCCGATTAAAGTATTATATATTCCAGCATACCTGGAGTATGTTTTTCCTCCCCCAAAACTCCAACAAATGGCACATCAAATAATTTATCAGAAGAATCATTCCTGATCAGTTCTGATACACCAGAAGCCCCCTCCTTGACATTGTCACCCTGCTCATGAACTTTTAAAGCAGTCCCCTTCTCACATTCAACTCTTGTACCATTCATATTATGTATTACCTGCGGAGAGCTTTTCTTTGACTCACTGGAATCTAATCCTGATATTCTGCTATCAGATATCCCACAAAGTGGAGAATTGGTTGAACTAGGAAGCTGATCACACACAACAGGAACTGATACCATGGCTGTACTCTCCAAAACCTTTGTCAAAGGCCGGCGTCGGTTTTTCCTTTTCAAGAATTCATGAACATTTGCCACCTGCGATCTCTTCCTTTTCAGAGTTGAAGAACTACCCTTAAACCCATTCACAGAAGTTCCATTGACCAGGCAATTTCCTGTGTGCAAGTTGCTAGGAGAAGCACTATCTTGCTGAACAACAGTTGTCCCTGCTCCCTGGACCTTTCTTTTTGAGGCTACACCAATACCAAGGTCCTCAAGTCCCCTCATTCGCTTTACTCCTGTTCCATCATCTTCTGAATCATTAGGGGTTCTTCTTCTTCCCTGAACAGATTGCATCTTGGAGGAACCGTTGTGATTGGGCTCTTCAAAAGATATACCAGATTGAGATAACTCTGGAGCTGAATTAGAATTGTCTTCAGAATCACTTAAATCATCAGTCACATCCTCATTGTCATCCCCGGAATTAGATGTGACTGGTGAAGCTCCAGCCGAATCACCATGTTCCCTAGCCGATTTGTCTGCTCTTGAGTAAAATTTTAATGGTTCTTTACCAAGGCGAGAGCTCTCTATCTCAAGAGCATGGAGAATAGCATCTTCCCTCCGAGCATACTTCACAGTTTTCTTATTCGAATTAGCAGCAGCAGCCTTTGCCTTCTCAATGCACTCATCATATTCTCCACAACGGAAAGCTTTAACACGCTTTGATTTTTCAAGATTATACCAATCCCTAAATCATGATAGAATTGCCAAAATCAGACTTCAAGCAAGGATCAATAAATCCCCACAACACTGACAATATAATTAAAGAGACAATTAAGTCATCCTCAATGAATAAAAATACAGGAGATCTATATGATTCACATGCATAATTTAAGAAAAGACTAATTTCCTGCTCAAAGCTTGCAGTTCTGAAATTCTGAAAAGGGAAAGCAACATTCAAATCATTGGAACAAAAACCTCGTAGAACGATTGTTTTTATTCTAAAATGAGCTCTTCATTCTATAGAATTTGTTACCAGCTTAACTAAGAGCCCATTTGGTATAAAATGGGAACGGGAAAGCTCTCTCCCATAAACACGGAAGCTTTCTTTGCTACAAAGCCATTATGCCATTTACCAAACATGATATATTTTCCCTCACCTTTCCCTTCCTTCAAACAACTTCTCCATGTAGTAAGCACACAAGGAACTGACAACAATACAAGCACAAATTTCTCATGCTGACAACAATATATGGACAGGTTTCGCAAGCTTGAAGCATGAAATGTCACAACATTGCCAAATACACATGGCTGTGAAACCACCATATTTAATCACCTATCCCAGGAATGTTTCTCAATGAAAATCAACTAAACAACCATAAACACAGAAGAAACTAGAATTAAACATATAGAGGAAAAATGATATCAAGTGGGATGGGAAAACACTCCCGCAAAAGCAAGCTATTAAGATGGGAGAACTAATCCACTCAAATACTCTATAAAGCATCACATACCACTTAAGCCTCCATCAAACATTCATAACAAGTAACAACTAAGGACAATAACAATAATAATGCATTCTCCTTATTAGAAGGAAAATTCTTAAATTTAAAAAATAGGTTCAAAATTCATTATTTGCATATGAATGAAGGTTTCAATTGATAGAAGCCCAGAAAAGAATTTATCATATCCAAGCCAAGAAAAAAAAATGAGAGAGAGAGAGGGAGAGAGATTAAAAGAAGAAAGCCATAAAAGCTCAAGCAGCTAGCAATGCTATCCAATATCTGAAAATGATGCAAGTACTTTAAACACATTTGCACAACAAAGGCACAAGACTGAAAATTATAATCTTTGTCGTTCTTTTCTTTTCACAAGGCACAAAAGTCAAATTAGAAAAATATTGGAAAACAGACTGAACACAAGATAGAGGGCTTTTCATGGACAGGAAAATGAAGCATGGGCCGAGATGGACTTGTACAATTCTGTAATTTGATAGCAAACAGAGGGGCTAACGCAAAATTTTATATGTCTTCTGTAATAACAGCAAGTCACATACAACACATCAGGAAGCGTCCAACTTATCGCACTAATCTCAAAGCCAACTTAAACCTAGGCTGTTCTGCTCTAAGAAAAATTAAAATTCGTCTTTTTCATATTAAGCTTGGAATCTATAAATATATTTATATATATAATATAGGAATACCATTCATAAGCCATGAATAGTGCACTTACCCAAAATCTGTGCAAATCATAGGACACATTCTAACTCAAAAAAGTTGCATTGCTAGAATTAGAACTACATCAGAGGAGAAAGAGATGGTACAGGCAAGTAAATTCTTCTACATTAGGTAGATGGACCAATTTTTTGAACTTCACAGAACTGTATCCCAAATGCTTTAGTTTACTAGAATTAGAACTAGTTCATCTGTCTCTACAAGATTGAAAATATATTTTGTCACCGACTCCAACTACGGCCTTAACAAAATCAAATTTCCACTCTGGCGACGCAAGCATGACAGTTTAGAATCTATAAAAGCTGCAACAGGAAAGGACAGGATTTATAACAATGGCATATAAACACCGATTCCATATTTGGTACCTCATACATTTGCATGTAAATACACATAACAAGGCGTCAACACTGAAGGCATAACCCTTAAGAGAACAAGAGCCCAACAAGATTAAGATGTGAATAAAACAATTTTACCTCATAATATAGATTGCATGGTACAAAACCAAAAACACCATTTCAGGCTAAAACGCACATGTCCAGAAAATTTTGTCCCTTACAAAACACAAAATAACTAATCATAAGAAAATGCTCCATCATATTGGGAGGCATCCAAATCTCTCAAAATCTACTGAAAGTCTACTATAGAAGATCACAACCCACTGTACAATGCGAAAACAAAGCATTTTACCCAGACAAAAAAAGCGTCCCCCACAAATACTATATGATCAAGCCATTATAGCTCTATCACCTAGCAAGATGAACTTTGAACATCAAGGATATGTTGGTTAAAGGTGAAACTTAGAAATGGAGTTAAACAGGAATATCAGCAGTATATTGACAGCACGTCTTCATATATTGCCAAATCTAAATCCCCAATTCCCCCTCCTCCCCTCCCTACCAAATACATAGGAAGACACATGTGATAATCCTGTTAGGAATATATTTTAGCGGTAAAGCATTAGGAATATATCATAGTGGTAGAAGCAACTAAGTAGCGCTCAACACCTGCCTAAAGTGCCAGTCATTCAAACGTAAAGAATATACCTATAACACCTGTACTTGCCTTAATATGAAAAGAAAGGCCTGCTTGTGAACACTGATTCTAATTCCCAGAGAAAATAAAAACATAAAACTGAAATTTAACACAATCAAGTAAACATCAGAAAGATGAGCAAGATTATGATTGGTAAAACCAAAAGAAAGAACCACTGAAGCGAAATGCACTGAGGATACAGCAGCACCAATTACCAACATACCAACACACGTAATCAGACAGTAGAACTCACAAAGACATTACTTGTGACAACATCCCCCGGAACACTTAACAAGCCCGATATCAATTAGCGTGGTACTAGTAGTAGTCAAAAGAAAAGAAGGGGTGATAAAACCTTCAAAATGCACACAGCTCCGTAAGAAATTAATATGAAAAATTACAACAACAAAAAAGGGACCAGAGATGAGCAAATTCATTGACTGGAAGGAGTGGAAAGTGGAAACAAGTAAGAACAAGAACTCACACGCTTGCGTCGTCGCGACCCAACAGCTTAACTGGAGTACCCGATCTCGGCGAAACCAAGCAACCCTCAGACAGTTCATCGACACCCATTATCCTGCCAGGCCACCAAGACCCATTTCGGCGCCGGACCCAAACCAAGCCACCCACCGACGCATCGATTCCATTAGTGTTGGACTCTCCCGAGCTACCCATTTCACCAGGTGCAAAACTAAACAGAAAAATTGTAATCCCAAGATATCAATCCCGACCCACCATTGTCAAGCTACCGCAGTCCAGAAGAAGGCCTGAAGCTTCCCTTTTGTGTGAGAAACTCAAACCTCCATGCCTAAAATCCCAATAAGAAATTAAAATACAAAATCTAATAAATAAAAGAAGGACTTATAATCCCCCATGCAATGAAAGGGCAGAAAACCCCAGAAAAAAATACACACGAAATTCATTTTTTTGGGTGAAATATCATTTCACTGCAAGATACTTGGTCAGAAGAACATGGCAAACGCACCAAGATGAAGCTTTGTTCCAGTGCAGGAAGAAGAGAGAGACAACTGAAGCAGAGGGTTTAAAACGGGTGGAGATCTATAAGAGAAATGGCATGAGATGATGAGAAGAAGCAAATGGGAAATCAATAGCCGCCCAAAGAAGGATCTTTTGCATTTTTTTCCAAGTCTTCGTTAAATATATTTTCCCCACCTTCCCGAATAAACTCTGATCGTTTGTGCGATTTTCTGATCTTCCTTGTTGGTCTCTTCCTAGTGAGATATCATCAGGAGGAGGCCGCGTCACTCGTGGCACACCGAGCGTACGGACACCAAGCCAGTGAGGTAGTAAGAGAGAAGAGAGAAACAGAAATAGCGGCTCCTGGTTTGGTGTTTTGGATCAAACGCACCTTTGCCTCTGGGTAGGAAAATACCGGAGAAGGGAAACAGCAAATACTCGTATCACACCACATACGGCTATATTTATACGGTTTTGCTGCTTCGTCCTGTCAAGTGATCTATCTTTCTCAATTTTGGACATTTTTCTTTTTCAGAAGGTGGTCTCTTTCTGTAAGAAGAAGAGAGAAGAAAATGAAAGGCAGGAAAATTTTCACAAAATATGTATTTTAAAAAAAGCAAGTTATTCACCCGGAAGCGTATACGCATTTTCATAGGTAACAGTGTTTCCTAAAACGTAACATCATATGCACTGCCAGCACTGGACATTAAATATAGCTCTTTTTCACAAGTTATAAACAAAATTACTAATTACTAATTTATCATATTTTTTAAATACGAAATTCACCCAATTTGTAGTTATAATAATGTTATACCTCTCCTGCTATTACTTTTTAACATAATATTATTAGGTTCTGGCAACAACAACAAAAAATCCTAATATTATTAGAATTTTTACTTTTATTTTTAAAATATAAGGGTATGATAGAAACCTGCATAAGAAAATAAAAAGAGAATACTTTTCCTAAGGGGCATAAAAAATAAATACTGAATACTTCTAAAACAAAAGTTCAAATTTTCATTCGTCTTATTATAAGAAATTAGTTTTTTTTGTGAAATTTAATTAGCTATCTTGATTATATTCACCCATGCGTACGCATTTTACCAAATGTGTATCCAATTATTTTATTTTCCCTGATTGATTCCCAATGCCAATAATAAGTATTTTTCTTTTTTTTGTTTATAAAATTGTGGCCACATGCATTGTGGGCCCAAATTTACAATTTTATAAGTACAGTTACACCTCCCCTGTCGTTCGCTTCTCCAGGGATGCATGCATCGTCCCCTCCCCCCTAAATAATTCCATTTGCTCATCTTCACGCTTGTTCCAACCATTTGCATTTTGAGGAAATTTTAAGAGTACATTTCTTTTCATTTGAATTGGTACGATTTTTCTTAAATGTACTTTCTAAAAAGGATTAAACACAAAATAAAATAAATTGAGAAATGAAATTAAAAACGGATACGGATCTTCTCAGAATTTTTCTCTCATTTCCTCTCAAAATCCCTTCTCCACCTCACATTGAAAAATGGATAGTTCAGGTATAATATCTGACAAAAAATTATTATAAATTTAATTTAATCTGAAAAGTTTATACCTGTAGTACAAAAAATTTAAATTTATAACATGTTTTAATGATAGTTGTATAAAATATTAAATCTGAACTATAGATTATTTTGAGAAAATAAGAGAGGATTCTGAGATCAAAATATAAATATACCGCCAACGAAAGTTCATCATACAACTCATCCTCTGCAAGGGGCTCATATTTCAAATCCAACAATTAATAGGAAAACTTAGCGAATACTTTATATTACACATTTTATAAGTGTCAATTGAACCCTGCAACTTTAACTCTTATAAACTCAGAAGACCAATCTCACCTCAATTCTTTTTTATCAATATATAAATAAACATATTTACTTTTAAATTTCATTTCTTTTTCATCTCATTTTGCCATACATACCAAACTTTTCTCCATCTAAAAAGCTACAAAACTATTCCAATCTTCAATATCAATATAAATATAATATATATATGGACCTGTACAGTTCACAGCATCTCCAGCATTTGGCCTAACTATGATTGAACACACAATACAATAATCATATTCAATCCTGATACTTATCTCTATTCCAAGTTTGAAACTTGCAAGCAATTGGACAAGCCACGAACAAATATTTCTCATTCCTGGCATTAATTGAGGCCCCCTTTCTGTTATACATCTAAACCATACATTATAAACTTCCTTACAAATGCCTATTCCAATTTGTCCTCTAAGACTTATATTTCTAAGTATAAATTATTACAATGCATATTTTACAGTCAAATCATCTTCTAAGTACAAGGTTCTTCATGACATTGAGATTGCAGTGCCAGCATTAATCTCTAAGCTTGTAGCTACCAGGAGCAAAGTGGATTTCCCACAGCGAAGAGAAGCACTCGAGTTTTTAACAGTGTTAACTCCTATACACAACCTTGATCAGTCATAGCTTGAGCAATGGTCAGAAATGCAGAGATGACAGCTCCATGTACCAAAGCCCTGACCAAGCAAGCATACAGGTTTTAAGCAGGATTTAAGACTTGGATCATCCCAAATACATATAACCCTAATAAGTCACACTATTCACAAAACCCCATACAGATACATGAGATCCACACTAGTTTTGAAGAAATTACGAGTGTCAACACAGAGAGAGAGAGAGAGAGAGAGAGAGAGAGAGATTGTGAGCTAAACTCATGCATTGCGAGTTCACCGCTCAAATGGATCCTACATGCTGTATGTCTTAAAACTTGTGTTGTCAATTTATTAAGAAACAGAAAGAATCCAGATCTTAATGTATAAACAAGATAAAGCAACGTCGTCCTATTGAGAAATTTTTATCTACCCTCATTAGAATATGGTTGTAAATCAAGCTAATGATGAATAGGCGTCAACATTTCAAATGCATTTGTTAGTGCAAGGCACCTTTCACATGCATATATGATTAGTTTCGTCAACAAAGGAATGAGAAGAAAGTAATTGGAAGGGAAATGGAAAAAATGCATAAAATAGATGGAAAATAACACTTTATTATTTTACTTAATAATGGACATTGCAGAATTGTTTTTTTCACTCTCCTTTGCACCATACAGATTTTTTTAAGGCGTCACACAAAGGCCGTCTGAAAAGAATTAAGGTGGTGTTGATAAAATGGAGGACCGGTTTGGGGTCACTTACCATCGAACACAACCTTTATAAATAAAAAGCTTTATCATACATTCATACGAGGACAAATCTTAAAATCGTGTAACCAACTGCCCCTATGACATCAATTGTTAGTTTTACTAATAATTATCATCACATCATCGAATTCTCTTAATTTAATACTACCTCTAATCCTAAACATAAGATCCGCTTTGTAGTGCAATTGGATCACAAAACAGATCTTATATTTAGGATCGGAGGCAATATATTCCATGATCACCAATGATGGACGGCTCTTCATAGAGGCAGGTCACAAATTTGCTATAGGGGAAGAAAGAAAATTGAAAGGAATAGAGGCCAGAACTAATCAATTTGGTAACGTTACTAGTATTGGAAAAATGTAGCAAACAGTATACAGTACTTTGCATGAGTGGTACAGGACTTACTCGGGACTTTCTTTTTGATAACCAAAATCAGATGCTGCTTTGATAGCTCTCTGATAAGTCTGTTTCATTGCTTCCTGCAAATGAAAATAGCCACTTTGATTACAGACGAAAATGTGAAACAGATGCAAAGACAACTTCCCCAAAAGGGAAGGAAGAAAACAAAAGCAAAGAAGTAATAATTTACAATATCCAAATAACGAAACTTCATCAAGCAACTGAATCCCATAACAGCACGCACATGAACAAATTATCAAAGTAGTTGTTTCACTGAATTTACTATGTTCTCTTTCAACAGAAACATGTCAGATATCTTGTAAACTCAAAATTAGAACTAGGGTAGACTTAGTTGATTTGCTTGGCAAGTTTGAAAATATTCCCTTTTAGCCCACCAATTATGTTAGCGTGGTTAAAAGAAACTTCAAGATGCTTATACAAGACGCCCCATCCAGAATAAGCTGATGATAACAAGGTTGGTGGTGATATAGGTGGAGATAACTGATAACAGTGGTGAAGAAGGTGGAGAGAAAATGTCCGTCGAACTGTTCTTTGTGTTTGAGATTTGATTATATGGAATGATTATTTATGTATAAACTTTATTGGAACTACTACTTTAAGTCATAAGGAACATGGATAAGTTTATTTTGAATTTTAGTATAATTTGAACTGAATTTGAATAAAGTTTCTTGCTTCTTAACTACGACTTTTTTTTGTAATTTTTATTTATTTCTCCGTAGAAGCAAAAATAAGGATTCAAGGAGGCGATATTTGAGCTTTGATAACATGTTGAGAAGGTAGGAAAAAGCAAAAGTTTGGGATATTATTGAAAGACTCGACAAATGTAGACCCATCAACTTGCACTAATAATATGACCATACGAAGACACCTGCCGTTCACTTTGAATGCATTACACTAACTATTTGCATATCCTACAAGACTTTATAAAATAATTAACTCTACACCGTTGGGACAAATGGAAATACTACATTTCTAGAAACAGAGCAACCAATACACTGGAACATTGAATGCTATTCACTTGTACAGAAAATTGGTTTAGGAAAACTACGTAAATTTGAAAACAAGCCTAACAAACCATATCATGGCTCTTAAAAAACAAAAATTATGATTAATAGAAAAACATATTTTATGTACCTGCAATTTAGATTCAAAATCCTCTGGTGACCAGTGCATCAAATTGCACTGATGATTTAATTCAAGTTCTCCAGCCACAACCTGCAAGCAAGGATAACATAGGATCAGATAAAAAGCCCTTCCAGTGCTTTGACAACATGCTCTTGCACAACCTGCCATAAACTGTACATAAAATATGCTAATTAATCCAACATAAGCATGTGATCATAATTTTCAATTTGAAATTTATGTTAGGCACAGCTTGACCAGAGCTTTTAACAGTACTATTGGGTTGTTTTGATAATTGCTTTAGCCACACTCATTTAAATATCATACTAGACAAACGTCACTGAACCGCTATACAATGCTAAACTGAAAAAGAATGAGACTTTCCAGTCAATTAAATTATAAAAAATGAAAGCTTCATGTCAGCATGCTATCTGCCCATGGTTCAATGCATCAGTAAAGTACTTTCATTAAGTTCATGCTGTTGCTGAAATCGGGGGAAATTGACGAGAATAAGGATTCAGACAAGGAACTAAATTTCTTAAGAAACTAGTTCTTCCTAAACCCCATTCATCTCCAAGCCAATTGAAGCCTAAATATGATACCCAATGTATAAAATAAAACAAATATAGCATTTATGCGATCACATGCATCATAAAGTGTGTAGTTTTACACTACGTCCACCATTATCCTTGTCATTGTTATCATTATTATGGGTTTCTATGCATATTTTAGGATATATAAGCTAAGAATCGCACCCCGCCTGCACCAGCAGCCATTGCAGGAGCAATGAGAACATTAGCTTTCCTCAGAACATCAACTGCCTCAGGTGTACAAGGCATGCTTGAACCTAGGATACAAACGATTAAGAGTAGTTTCCATTAGTATGAAAGAAGATAGAAGCAGAATAGAGAGACAAATCCAAATTCCATCTTACAAGAGAACCTACCTTCTACTAGCATTCGACATCCTGAATTAACCAAATTGATTGCATCAGACTGATCAATTTCATTCTGGGAAGCACAAGCAAATGCAATATCACACCTTTCAGTCCAGGGTTTCGCTTCGTCATAATATTTGGATCGAGCATAGGTCTTCGAATAGTCTCTGCATATGTGAGATTATAAACAAGTACCACAATTACGCAAACATTCCAGCACAAAATACATGGTGATCAAGAGTGAGACAAACCTCAGACTCCTCTGTTGAGCTTTGATATCTCTCAAGAAAGATACTTTCATGTAATCAAATCCATCCTCATCAACCAAATATCCTCTTGAATCTGAGAAAATATTTGATTAAAAAGAAACATTGTGCATGACTTCATAAGAACAGAGTACATAAAAGGAACTCAAAATCCTGACATCTCTGACAACTGAAAGAATTTAAAATCTGACGGTCAGTTATTTTTAATTTAAAATCTGACTGGCATGAAATGAAAAGCAGATTTCATTCCTATCCAGGACATAAATGATTACACACGGCATCATACCAAATGCAGTAGGTGCTATAACTAACAGAGTAAAAATTACCTGAAACTGTGATGGGAAGAGCACCATAAGCAATCAACTTCTCTAAAACATGCAATGCAATCTTTCCAGAACCACTTATGACACATCTACAGGAAAAAAAAAAAAAAACCACCAAAATAGTCTATAATCACAAATATGTAAAACTAATTTAAGAAGCAAGCTCCTAGGTGTAGTCCAGTGAAGAGAGGAATGGGCAGAAAGCAAGAGCTGTAAGAATCAAATCCTTGCTCTAACATGTACCCAAAATTTTAAAAGGGAAAAAAATTTGGAAGCAGCAGATTCCAACTAATTGAACAATATATTTAACACCTCCACAGGAACTTTAAGCACAAGAAAAAAAGGCTCAAACATTTCACGTGAATACATGAATAGTACACGCAATAAAAGGGATAACACCTATGCTAAATAAGACGTAGCAATAATCTTTAACAAATGGCTTAAACTAAGAGAGGAACCTTAATCCTTTGAGTTCTTTATTCATGTCAGAGAGTACGAGCTGAGCAAAGAAAACCTGCAGATGGATGGAAAACAATTCATTATATCATACTAAGAACTTAAATCAAGAATGGCAGAAACTTCGGATGACATTCCTAGCAAGAACGATGAATGGTGTGTAATGTGGTTCAGACTTCAGAAACAAATCAGAGCTACAACTCAGCCCTATACTTTGATTTCTAGCTGTCTTTTAGTCCTTTACTGAGTTTGCGTCCTTAACAGCAGGTTGGCATAAATAAGATACAGTACTGCCGCAAGCCCTAGGGATTGCCAACTTTTAAAGAAAAGACATGCACAGAGGACAATAATCAATATCTTGCTGAGAAGTTAAAAGAAAAACAGTTAAAAGGTCAACTGCAGAGTACACCATTCACATTTTCGCATCCATCATACATCCAAATGTAGGATATCAAAGAATTTAAGTTAAAATTACCAGGCCATAGCCAGTAGCTTCAGTTCGGAGACTAGAGCCAGACCAAAATATCCTTGGCCCTGTGAAACTTCCCTGCACAAGTAAAGCATAAATATAAAAATTACAGAAAAATTACTTAGCTTTCTGCTCTTCCATATCACTGAAATAATAGGTATCCAACAATTTGTTGTGCACGGCCTAATTAGAATTGTTAAAGCACTATAAATGATGCACTGCACATCTAATATGTACACTAAATTGTGCACATTGAGGAAATCAACTAAATAAATAAAGGTAAAAGGCACAGGGATATAACTATCAAGCAAAAGAGAAAAAATCAATGTTAATCAGCTTCAAAAAAGAAATAAAATTTACACTTGATGACAAAAAGATAATGCAACTTCAGGTTCAGATAAACCAGAATTTTCAAGGATAGTTTACGTCACCGCCTCTCTGTTGGGACAAAGTTCTTAGTCTGTGGATTCTTAAGACAAATTGATGTTGTCAGGGAATGGACTGTTGATAGAAATTTTTCTTTCAGCGTTGCAAAAACATCAACTCTGCTATAGTACTATTTCTTATGCAGCAAGAAGGCTGACTTACCTCACCGGGAAGAAAAAAAGAAGAATAAACTGCCCAATTTAGCAAACATTAAGTGCACAAGGAAAGTCACCCATAGATTCAAGGGCTATAGTGAAACAAGTCTAATGAATTGCAAAATATGTTATTATAGCCCCAAATAACTTGGAACCAGAATGATTGGATTACCTGAAAATGACCAGCCAGGCGTCTATACTGTCCAAAGAGATATCCCATTTCTCGAGTACCAACACCCATCTCCTCTGATGGAAGGTCCTATTTTACATCAACTAAAAGAATAAAAAGATGCTGAACAACTTTGAATGTGCAGAAAGAGAGTCCACTTCCAGTTACCTTGTCAGGACCAAAGTAACGATACATCTCATTCATATAGCTTTGGCAGAAGCGCATCACCTGTCAGCATATCAAAATAACATTCAGAAATCATACAATTACTGAAGTGGATATTAAATGAAAAGTAGGGATTCACCTCATTGTCACTTTTTCCTTTTGGATCAAAATCACTTCCACCAGCAGCCCCTCCTAATTTGTAAGGTGATAAAGCATTCTTTAAAGTCTGTAGAGGAAAAGGTATGATGAAAAATCTCGAAACAGTACATTGAGAATCACACATTTACACTACAATAACAAGATAAATAAAAAATTTCTTTCCTTGCCCTTCAAGTTTTGCGAACCATGCAAAAGGGCTTCTTCTATAATTGGAATGAGGGGCATCTCAAATATTTGTGTCCCATAGCTTTCATCCCCAACAAAGATAAGTGTACAAGCACACAAGTGCCTCTTCTCCCACCCACCCACCACCCCCCCCCCCAAAAAAAAACATAAAAAGAAATTTTTATTGATGAAAGAAGTGAAAGTCCAAAACCACAAAAACATGAAACCTCCAAGATAGATGTGAAACAGGACAAAAGAACACAGAAAATATCGAAACAATAACACCCCAGCAATGTTAAAAGTACATCTAACAAAACAAACAAATGATTCTTAGATTCGATTTTATGAACCCAGCAATCATAGATGTTCATTCTAAGCCACCCGAGTTCTCAAATTCCAACCCTTCTTTCTCCCTCGTGTATCTTCTATCACCTTTCAGCACCAAATCTCCTCAATTTTCTCTTTGGTCTTGCCTATGTATTATCCTTTTTTAAACCTTTTGGTTAGTAAACATCTTTGCTCGTCTCTAAACATGCATAACATGTGTAAGTGCACATTATGGTTACATATTAAACCTATCAATTGTATTAGAACCTCTATAACAATTGACATATCATCAGTGGTCAACAAATATACTACATGATTCTAATTGAGCATTTTTCCACGTGCATCAAGTGTCAAATAGGAAATGAACAAAATGGTGATAACATTAACATTGGCTAAAATTTGACAAAGCTATTATAAACTTTAGGGTAAAATGTCCTTCATTAAATTAAATACTAAATATATTCATAATACCTGTTCAAAACCAAGGAACTTGGCAATACTTAAATTCATCGATGGATGAAAACGAATACCACCCCTGCATGGACCCAGTGACTGGTTATATTGTACCCGAAAACCACGGTTAACATGTGTCTCACCCCTCTCATCAACCCATGGAACTCTAAAAATAATCATGCGTTCTGGTTCCAACAAGCGCTCCATGATGCTGACATAACTGAAACATTTAACAATTCGTATTCAACCAATACCAAAGTATAATCTTTCTTTGTTTTGAGGAAAAGAAACAACAAGTAAATAATTATAAATTCATTTGCAAGAAACTCACTGTGAATTTTTGGCTATTACTCTTTCAAGAGCATGAACCGCTTCCTGGACTGACTGAATGAATTCAACCTCATGAGGATCCCTTTTTAGGGCAGCTTCAACAATTGATCCCGCTGTTTTTGACATAAGAGCTTCAATTATAGAATTGTTAGATCACACACAAAAGGATGTAGATGTTAGCATTATTAATTATTAATATAACCAATAAAGATTTTATACAATTTCCACACAATTAATTAACATAAATTTTTCAAAAACTAAGCAATTGGTTTTTTTGAATTCATATTCATGAAACTTAATCAAGCAAAACAACAGGAATAGCTAAAATTCTCTAACTACTAATCATCTAAAACCTAAGCATTTAATATGCAAAATTAAGAAAAACTACTTTAACATTAAACTTGGTCAAAAAGTTAGGATCCCCTCAAATAAATAAAATAACTGAATTCCAAGAAAAGTAGAATGGTAAAAAAAAAAAAAAAAGCAAAATAGTAGCAACATTACATTCATATTAGAGATTTATCTAAAAGTAAACTGGCTGTACCTCAGTTAACTTCAAAGTATCAATAAAATGCAGCAGAAGAGCATTTTCCAATAATATTGTAAATGATAGATTGCGTCTTTAGCACAATTCATGTTTTAGGAAAAACATGATCCAACGTGTTCCAGGAAGTGATTAGAGAATGTTATCAAGTTTTAAAAAAAAAAAAATTTATATACACGTCCGAATGGTTAGAGAATGCTAAGATGGCCAACCTTTGACATAAATGGGCTTGTCGACAATTAGTTTATCCTTGGAGGCCATTTGGAGACGAAGAGCCTCTTTGTGAAGCAAGCTATTATTGTGTTCTTCTAAGGCACTCATTTGCATATTCCTACTGCCCTCATTTCCATAAGGGTTTCTTCTATGCTTTCTTCCATACTCCCTGCAGACAGAACAGAAAATCCTTGCTGTCCCATCTTTTACATCAACATAGGCCCATTTGTAGGTGTCTGCCCACTCCTCCCTCCATCTTTTCACAACCTTCTTTTTCCTCTTCGCTGGTTGTGTCTTTGACATATCCTGATCATCATTAGGAAGATGAGAACCCATCCCCATTTGCTTGCTCTCACCATGCTCTTCAGCAGAAGATTCTCTAGCAGGAGCACCAATTAAAGTTGCGTTACCAAAAGAAGGATCATCATCCCCAGGTCCAATTTCTAAGTCAATCTCTTCGCCTATCTCCCTGACAACCAAATGATGCCTCTGAGCTTGCTGAATCAAATTCATATCATCCATTGCAGAATTCATCCCTACTCCTGTGGCTGGGAGCAACATTCAGCATGACAACCCTCCCCACGACTTTAATCAAATACTCTCTGTGAAGACAATAAAGCAAGTAGTTGACCTATTCGGTAGATAAAGATAAAAGAAGAAGTGACAAGATTTACAAGGCAAACAAGAACAACACCAAGTGTTGGTCTGATTCTCAACTCCCCACGTTACTTGAAAATGCAGATCACTAAGATCCTTAGATATGCCACATCAGGCAAGAAAATAATAGTTATAATGTGGCACGTAAAGAGAACAAAACCCCCTTTAAGTCACTCCAGATATACTATGACGGCAATTTTAAAATACCGTTACAAACAAAAATCCCAGTCGAATTTAAAATCGCTCACGATCAACATAGCGATCACACGACATTCCCCTAATCTTTCTCTCAAGTCCGGATTTTTTTTTGGGTCCAAAAGTCCGGATTTAGTTATTACAGCTTTCCTTCGGCAATCAGTGACACAAAAAAGTACGGCTGAATACACCGAGTCAAGGCGCAAAAAACTCAATAAGAAATTACAAAACAAAATCTCTGCAAAGGACCCACAGGTTAGAATTGAATGCGAAGAAGTACCCAGAAACTAAATTTAATCAGTAAACTAAAATACCTACGAAATTTGAGCGGATAGGGTGGAATAGAATAGCCCAAGTCAGAGTTTCAGACTTCTTCCTTGCGTATTCTATCCTCCCTCGAATTTGTTTCCGTTGATTTTATTAGCGAGTTTGCAGAATGGACGACGAAATTTTCAGTGAGATCTTGGGCCTCAAGTTGAGTGAAAGTTCTCTGATGAGAAAATCCTCGAGTGAGGCGATACAAGGATATGATAATAAAGGAGTAAACTTTATTTGAAGGTGATCGTTGCTGAGTGCAAGTGACTGGTTCAAGCTCTCTCTCTCATCTTCCCACTTTTGAAGAAGAAAGACAATCCCAGACGATGAACTCATGGGCAAAAATGGCATCCTAAAATTAACAAAACACCATACGTATTTTAGTAATATAGAGAACAATTGTGTAAATATTTTTCTTAAAAACATAATCATTGACTCTCCCGCGGCATCATCATCAATAATCAATAATATATCAATCATTTGGCCAAAAGAATTATGTCAATTACAATTACAAATCCATATAAAATATGAACTACAATATTCGAAGAACTAAAATATGAACTAAAAAAAGTTCCTGAGTTTTAGTCTATGAAAAATTGTCACTGAGAGAATTTTTCGTCCATAATGATGCGGACAAAATATGATTTTTGAAAATTATTCAGCTATTCAAAATATATATACAATATTAAAGGTTAATACTACTTTCGATGTTTGATATAAGACCTCATTTGACTTTTATCTTGGTTCTCAATATAAGAACCCAATCCACTTTGTATCTAATATTTGTGCATTTTTTTCCAAGATAGTACTTCTAATAATGATAATTTTAACCAATACATTTGATTAGTAATGATATTTTAGGAAGGACAACACCTATTTATTACAAATAACTAACTTAACTTATTTCTTAATCTCCTCAATTAGTCAGCTAGCTCTTATAATTAGGAGCGGAGGTGGTATAAAAATTTGATCCCTCAAATTTCAAGTCTATGATTTTAATCTCTGAAATTTAGTTCATAAATATTAGTTTCTAAAGCTACAAAATCTGCTGCAAAAGTGACATCAAAATTTAAAAGTGATAATGTAGACTAATAAATAATACTTAACTAGATTTTATATGGATAATTAAAAAAAAAAAAAACAAAGTTCCGAAAGCGCAACACAAATAATAACTATACAAAGAGGATCGATTCTCAAAATGCAATGCAATGAATATCTTTCTGAAACAAGAGAGGGCGAAAAATTGAGGGAGAGTTAAAAAGCTACATAATGAGGATTTGTATTTTTTTTTCCCTCCTTTGTGTCACCTGGTGAGTCAATATCATTATTTTAATGTTATTTATGACAGATTAGTAGATTTTAACTCCATTATATTTTCAAAACTAATATTTAAAACAGATAAATGTGGAAAACTAAAATTATGAGTTTGAAATTTAATGAACCAAAATCAAAATAATCCCAAATTTTATGTATCAAATATTATATTAACTCTAATATAAATTATAAAATTTATAGGAAGTCATGTTATTTATAAACCATAAATAATATTTTTCTGGTTCTTAATATAAGACTCTTTTTGTAGTGTAAATAGGTCTTATATTTAGGACCAGATAATGTATTATCTATTTTTTAAATTCATGCAACCATTTTTTCAAATTTTTTTACATATTTCACTCGCTTGTATAATGCTATATTCTCTTAGTTTTTTTTTTTCCCCACATATTTCAGTGTGATTTAAATGTTCAATAGCTTTAGCGAATTCTTCCAAAACATCACATAGTCTAATCGGTCACACGCTTAATAGTTACCTAAATGGCTTAATAAGACAATTTGTCCATGCCATTTTCAATCAAAAGAAAGTCTTCCCAAACATTTCAAATTATCATTTATCTTACACAATTCAAAAGAAAAGTATTTAATTGATGTCTATCAGCGCATGTTTTTGAAGACTATTCAACAGAAAATTTATATTTTTGAAAATTAAATTACACGTATTGTGAAACTGAATTTTTATTTTAAAAATTAGCATATTAAAAAATGTAATTCATTATCTCATTTAATTGATAACGTTTGCTATAGACTACTCTTATGCATAGAACATTTTTCATTTTACAGCTTCTGTTAATTTTACATAACGTTTTATTGCAAGGAAATAAAAGATACACACAATCTTTATACAAAATGATAAGGAAAATTACAGTGAACGAAAACATTACACTGAAGCACATATAGTAGTATAACGGTAATATTTACTTGTAAGGATGATAATTAACGGTATTTGATTATTAAACCTTTATTTGAAAAAGACACGCGGGGTTTAAGGAAATAAAAGATGGTGAGTTTTAACATTTTTTTTTATTTGGTTTTGGTTTGACTGGAAGAAAAAAGAGAAGAAGAAAAAGACTATAATAATCCCACTAAGTTATTTTAAATTTTTTTTAAATCTGAGGGACTGACACTAAAAAATATAAATCTAAGAAGCATTGAACTTATGAATAATTATTTGTTTGTTAAAAGCTCTCATTTCACTAAACCATAGAATTTTTAGCAGGCTAAGGAAAAATGAAGCACACATCGATTAGGAATTGGGCTTTGATTGGCCCATGGTCCACATATAGAAATAATGAATTGGGCTTTGATTGGGCCTATGTTTGACAATGTCTCAAATAGGAGTACCTACTTGACACATTGTGAAACATTAAATATGAACACATCCCCTAGTTAGTATTCGAATCTTGATTATCACGTATTAGGGAACAAACCCCTTCTCCTAGATCCAACCTGTTAGTCTTTGAATATTTTTTTTTTAAAGTATAAATATCCTCTTATTAAAAACAATCTTATTTCGATATTGTCGGGCACTAAACCCGCCAGTGTTTGAGCATTTTTATTATTTAAGCAGCATGACAACATAAAAGGGCTGCAGCTGTCGATTCATATGGGCTATCCTTGGGAATGTGACCTGAAACTTTGTTTGGCCCACATGATACAGAAGTTGATTCTCACTTAAAGGTTTTTTTTTTTAATTTTGTATCAAAAAAATTTATTAAAAATTTCAAAAACAAAAATGACTGCCAGCTGATCAAAATTTCCTTTTTCCTTCTCGATTTATCTCAAGAAACCAACCAATACTATACAGAAAAAGGAATAGAGTACGTTTTAACCAAAATCTATGCTCACCTTTTTGTTTTTGGTGACAAAATCTATGCTCACTTCGGATCATTGATACGCGTCCGTTTCACATATAAAATTCAGTCCTCTACACATTTGACGAGGCATTGAAATGTGATTTAGGGATTTGATCCACCCCTACACATCTACTATAATCTCAATTATTATTATTTAAACAACTTCGCTTTTCTCACTATTTTTTATTTTCAAAATAAAAAAAGTATTTGTTTGGCCGTAGATTTCATCTCACAATCCAATCCTCTCACATTGAACTTACATAACATTTATATAAAAAAGGAAAAACTATTTTGTAAATAGCCACACTCTTTCTTAATTTTTAATTTGATACATATATCGTTTAATTTGCTTTATCAGTATATTAATCCGTTAGCACCGTTAAGAAAAAGTATGGGTGCTTCAAAAATGATATTCCCTAAAAAGACATATGACTGTGGAGTTCCATGTTGAAACTTGGAAGTCACAAAAAATAAATTTTAGTATGAGCAGGTAACTTATTTAATAATTTTAAACTAAAATCAAACACATCTTATAAACAAATCACCTCAAACCTCATTCTAGGTTGTATTAAAATTCCAGCCTAGAAAGGACAATTGACAGTGATCAAGTAACTTAAGGGGTAAGAAGTTTCCTGATTCATAATTATTTTTTTGCTTCTTGAGTGGGTTTGACAAATTTGACACATCAAAACTCACATGTGAGGGCAGACAGAGTGGTCCAAATTCATGATTCATGACAGTGTTAGTGTGTGACTCTTGCACACATCACTTGAATTTGTGTCAATCCCACCAAATATGCACAGCCCCAAAAGGGCCAACTCTATCACACCTCAACCACCAAACCAATTCCAATTTAGAAAAAATGGGTCTCCCAAGAATTTTAGCTTCTCCCATCTTCTTAAAAGGCTTCATATTTTCAAACCCTATTACGTCATGCCCACATCTTCTTTCTTTGCCGTATAATACAAGTGGTGGTAGTTTATTCTTCTAACACAAGACACCATCTCATCCGCTAGGCTTCAACTTTGTCGCCTTTGAATTGAATCTCTTTGGATAACATCAAATTTTTTCAACAACTGAAAGTGTGAACCGGACAATATCTCTCACGCTAATAATCAACAGGGCAGTTTTAGACAGTCAATTCAAATGGTTCTTATTTAAAAAATAGAAAATTAAGTGTGCAATGTGAACATCCTAAATCTTCGAAATAGATCCGTTTCAAGACAAACATGTCTCTGAAATAATATAGAGATAACTACAAACGTGTGACATCTAGGATTGGGAGGCAAACTCTAATAAATTCTAGGTGAACTTGCAACCCTTGGGACACCAACATAAAACTGATAAGTCGACATCACTTCAAAATTCAAACTTGAAATAATCAACAGACGCCAGCTCAGAGCACATATTCATGGATACTAAATATAAAATGCGGTTTGGCCAAGATGTTAATTTTTCAGGCTTAACAGAAATCATGAGATTAGGATTAGGATAACAATAACACCTAACATAGCGTTGATCCTTACTTCTTTATCCTTTGCTTTTGGTAAGATTGTCAGCCGACAACTTTAGGAATAAAAAAACTACATCGAACTTGAACACTTGAACCATGTGGACTTTAATTCAAACGTTTCAGGGGGGGGAATTTTTAATATATAGAAAACTTCAGCACTTTGGTTTCTTCCATATCTTCCTCCATTCCATAAAGTGTACTTAATGAGAATGCATAAATGAATCGTCATAACTCGATCCCATACAGCCAGAGAGAGATTCAAGAAAAACTATGCATAAACATATGCCATATTACGTGTATCCAGTACATATAAATTAGAATCCCAAACCACGCTCACAAATCCCCCACATCACAAAAACAGCCATTCTATAACAACATTCATATGTATACTATCCCTCCAGAAATCACCTTCAATATGATTCTCTATTCGTTTCTTTTCCGTCATTAAAGAACACCATTCACAAACAGGTCATAAATCAAATTTTCAAACCCTATTACGTCATGCCCACATCTTCTTTCTTTGCCGTAATTACAAGTGGTGGTAGTTATATTCTTCTAACACAAGACACCATCTCATGCGCTAGGCTTCAACTTTGTCGCCTTTGAATTGAATCTCTTTGGATAACATCAAATTTTTTCAACAACTGAAAGTGTGAACCGGACAATATCTCTCACGCTAATAATCAACAGGGCAGTTTTAGACAGTTCAGATGCTGTTTCTTATTTAAAAAAATAGAAAATTAAGTGTGCAATGTGAACATCCTAAACCTTCGAAATAGATCCGTTTCAAGACAAACATGTCTCTGAAATAATATAGAGATAACTACAACGTGTTGACATCTAGGATTGGGAGGCAAACTCTAATAAATTCTAGGTGAACTTGCAACCCTTGGGACACCATAAAACTGATAAGATCGACATCACTTCAAAATTCAAACTTGAAATAATCAACAGACGCCAGCTCAGAGCACATATTCATGGATACTAAATATAAAATGCGGTTTGGCCAAGATGTTAATTTTTCAGGCTTAACAGAAATCATGAGATTAGGATTAGGATAATAATAACACCTAACATAGCGTTGATCCTTACTTCTTTATCCTTTGCTTTTGGTAAAGATTGTCAGCCGACAACTTTAGGAATAAAAAAACTACATCGAACTTGAACACTTGAACCATGTGGACTTTAATTCAAAGGTTTCAAGGGGGGGAATTTTTAATATATAGAAAACTTCAGCACTTTGGTTTCTTCCATATCTTCCTCCATTCCATAAAGTGTAGTTAATGAGAATGCATAAATGAATCGTCATAACTCGATCCCATACAGCCAGAGATTCAAGAAAAACTATGCATAAACATATACCATATTACGTGTATCCAGTACATATAAATTAGAATCCCAAACCACGCTCACAAATCCCCCACATCACAAAAACAGCCATTCCATAACAACATTCATATGTATACTATCCCTCCAGAAATCACCTTCAATATGATTCTCTATTCGTTTCTTTTCCGTCATTAAAGAACACCATTCACAAACAGGTCATAAATCAAAAGAGAGCTATTAGATTACCTATACGATGATGCTTCTTTAGAGGATCTTTCTGGTATGAGATATTCCATCCAATAGCGTCAGAAAATGCTGTTTGAGGAACTATAATCACCCATTTGATAAACGGTTTTCAAGTATGAACCTCAGAATCAGCAACATAGCCATACTAAAAGGTTCAGTCAATTGTCACTTGCTACTGATAGCTTGAGCCTGGCGTATATATTGCAAGATCAGACCACCCATTGCTACTACCATTCCAACAGCTTGAATCAACATTTTGCTTACCGAGAAAGCTCTCCGAATTACCATTGCTCTGCCTTTCCGGCCCTGAGTTTCGGCCCGAATCCGAATTCTTCGCATGGCCAGAACCCACATTCTCCCCAAATTCATGCAGTTGCATCATTTTCAAACCAGACCCATTTGGATTCAGACCCTCGAATAAACCTCCCCACGTTGATGCCAGAAGGGAACTGAAACTCCCACCGATGCGCGGGGGACCACTGGGGTTGGCATAAAACCGGGTCGGGTCAGGATCCGGACGAGCTGTTGAGGCAGGTGGAACCGATGCAGGAGGAGATGATGCTGAAGAAGCAGCAGCAGCAGAAGGGCGTTTGGTGGTCGACGATCGTTTGGTGTTCTTTCGGCTTCCACCACCGACTGGTATGTTTCGAAGAGCACCGCCTTTGGTCCAATACCTTCTGCAATTCTTGCAAAAATGGCGTGGCTGGGAGAGATTATAGTTGTTGTAGTAGCAGAATTTGGTGTTGGTAGAATCACAACGCGGACATTTAAGCTGTTCTTGTTCGGGAAACTGGGGTTTCATCGGCTGGAATGCCATTGGGTCTTGCATTTCTTATATCCCTGAACAGGAATCCAATCCTAAAACCAAAAACCCTTCTCTGGTTCGGTATCGTGTCGGAGTATTACAGGAACAGGGAAAAGACGAACCAGCTAGTAAGTGGCGGACAGTTTAGGGAGCAGAAAGTGAGGAAGATGACAAAACAAAAAGGGAAAGGATATTTTGTTCAGGGTCTGGAACGGGTGTTAATTTAATACTAGTAGAACAAACCAAAATAGTAAAGATTAAAAAAAAAACTGAAAGCTATAGTCGGGAAAAAGAAGCTAAAGAGACAGAGAAAGGTTCACATGCTCGTAGGGTTTTCTAGTTGATTTTGATGAGGGGAAAAGGAAACAGATCTGACCGAATTGGAGAAAAAACTGAGTGGAAGAGGATAAAGAAGATATTGGATTGCAGAGTGAGATTGTCGACAGCGATAAGCTATCTATCAAGCTGGTCTGCGGGGAGAGACGACCAGCCCAGGCTTCAAATAGAAACCGAACTCTCCCTCTCTCTCTCTCTATATGCTCTTCGCTTGATCCTTTTCCGGTGCAATTCCACACAGCCTACCACTCCTACTGCTAACGAGTATGAAGAAACGTTGGTTGTTATAAAAGGGGGGGAGGAGGCAATAACTAAAAAGTTTACTTTGTAATTAGAAAACCTAATAATTTTTTCATTTGTTCTAATTAATAAAATTTCTAAACAAGAACTCAGGCCAACTTTGAGTTAAAATTAATGCCTTTATAAATTTTTTAAAAATATTAAAATTTTCATGGATTGAAAAATCATTGAACTGTGAATTTTTGTGTCAGTGTGTCACTAAAAGTATTTTTCTCTTTATTGAGTATAGGTATCTTTTTATTAGAAACCTACTTGAGGCATGGTCTCTTTTATCATCCTATTTAAAATATTTAGTACTAAATATGAAAATTTTTCTTATAAATGATACAAATCTTAGGGTGTTCAAGTTTAGATGTAGTTCAAAAATATTTCCCAGTAAAAACTTTTAATTTCTATCTTTATAAAAGTTGTTTAAATCCATTCATTAAAAAAACAAGTGTTCGATCTTCCATACCATATTAAAAAAAGCTAAATGGCAATGTTTAAGGTCCTATTTAGCAGAGCGATAGAAATCACTGATAAACATATTTTATGTAAGTTAAAAATAAAACTCTTCTTATATGTTTATATTGTATTTTGTAAATCGTGATTGAAAAGTTAACATTAATTCACATTATTTTCCAAAATTATAATTCCCAAATGATCTATGTTGATTGCACATCTTGAATGAGAATTTTCATAAATGACAATGGTTTTCAATAAAACTAGAAGTTTCTCCCACACGAAATGCACGGACTAAAATATTTAATTATATTTTAAGTTCTAATTAATGTTTACTTCCTACGACTGTGATTTTTTTTATTCATTCAAATGATATTTGAACTAGACATGCAGAATTAAAAAATACATATGAAAATTTAAATTTATTTATTTATTATGAAAATTTAAATTTATTTTTATTTATTTATTTAGGGTCCCAGTTAACATACTATTTAATTATGATACTTTCTATTTAATTCAATATATTCAAATTAAAAATTAATTATCAATTATTAATTTTTTTTATTTGAGCCTCCAATTAAATTTCATTTCATTTATAATAATGTTCCTCATTTAATTCAATATACCCAAATTCTAATTAAAGTATTATTCAAATTTTATTAATTAAATATATTCAGATCTCATAATGTTATACTCTATTACAAGTTTTTAAGAATATAGTTGATGATGATTGTTTGATGATAGTTGATAACTAAATATAATATTTTAGAAAAATCAAAACATATTTATTACAGATAATTAATTTAACTAATTTTTTTAATTTTTATAAAATAGTTATTCAGAAGCCGTGAAAAGATCATGTGCATTAGAACATTTGATGATGAAGAGATACCCTTGGCGGACTACGCGTGTCAAGGGTATTTTAGATGGGGGACTACTATAAGCAATTTACACTAATTATTCGTACAGTTTATCATCAAAAGAACTGATTAAACAACATGCTTAAGGGCAATTTGAAATGACTTAGAGAACCTGTTTGGAATTATTTCTAGACAGTTTTTTATTCGTAATTTAAAAAATATGAGATAATTTTTATTTTGACTTGTGTAAAACATGTTTACAAATGGTTTTAAATGTGATTCCCGTAAATCATGTTGATTGGGGTGGTAAAAATGTAATTCTACTAGTGGATGAAGAATATGTATGATTTACTAAGAGAATTTTGCTTACCTCGAGCTGGCACAGATTTTTGTCAGCCTGCGTGGAAACATAACGTGAAAGCTTTGGCTTTGTAATAAAAATTATTCTGTTACTTATGGATTGAGATATAATTTTATTTCTAATCTTTTAGTAGTATAATTTTATTCCTAATTTTATTTTCTAGGTGTAATTTTATCCTTAATTTTTTTGGGTACAATTTTACTATGATCTTTGGATGTAATTTTAACTTTAAAGAGCAAAATTACACCCAAACAAAGATTAGGATCAAAATTATATTACTAAAAAAATCAAAAATAAAATTACACGCAATAAGATTTGGATTAAAATTACGTCTTAACCTTATTGGGACAAAGAGCGAAGGGAGAGAGGGCACGGTCGAAGTAACATATGAGGTGGCAGGAAGTCAGAAAGGGGGTCCGGATTGTCTCAGCGGCGCGTCCCTCAGCGTCCCTCAGTGTCCCAATATCTACCATCAGATTTAATTTATAAGCTCACAATATGCCACATCATCAAGCTATTAAAAATTTAAAAAATCTAATTAATGCTATAAAATTGCTTTTTAAAAAAAAAAGAACTATTTTTTTGAAAAAAAAAATTTGAGTGCACCATCTAATTTCTTGGATCTATTTGTTTTAATTGTAGAGTTTAATAATAGTTCAAATTAATATAAATTGAGTCAGATAGGATAATAAAAAGAGGTAGAGTTTTGCCATCAAATATTTTAATTAAAAATTTTAAAAAATAAAATATTTGATATAGTTTTGCCACTCTTTATACTTCTGTCTAACTCGATCTGTATCATATTGAATTTAGATAAATCTTCCAGTTTAAGATGAATAAATCCAAAAAATTATATATAAATATATGATGGTTAAGTTTTTTTATTCTTTATGATTATTTGAATAAGTCTGGAGTCTAAACATTCATAAATTTTTTAACTAAAATAAGTCTGGTGAAAAAAATTGGATATTTCATGCTAAAAATATCCTAATTGAAATCTAGTAAAAAATTCTACACTATATTTAAAATTTATTTCTAATTTTTAATAGCATCATGATGTGGTATGATATGATCCGCGCTAGATTTATTTTAACGGCTGCAATTTGAACGCCGAGGGACGCTGAGAGTATCCTCTTCCCAGAAAGGGATAAGGCAGGGCAGCCGTCAGGCGTGGGGTCCACCACCAGCTTGCGTGCGAATAAAGGAACCTCCCACCCACAAAAAGGGGCCATCATTGGAGGTTAATGCATATGCCAAATCAGGACCGTCCATCAGAGGCGCCACAAATCAGGTACGTCCAAGTGTCGAGCGAAGCAACGACGGAACATTGCGTTGAGTCACCGTCACCCCACGGCGTACACCGGCGACACGTGGAGGAACCCCACATGAGTGGCCGCAGCGCTTCATGAGCAGCGCAATGGAAGGGGAAGGCGAGGGGAGGGTGCGGTGGGGGCCATGCGTGAATGAGGCGGGTCCCACAACCGTGTTGATTTGATTGGTTTTTGTCTGCTTGTTTGATGAAGGGAGGGCTCAGGGACGTCATGATGAAGCCTTCAGCGTTTCGCGTGGGCTGAACTCCTTCTTCCTCATCAAGGAAACCACCAATCGGTACTTCACTCTTTTATATTTTAAAAGTTCAGATTTTAATTTTTATAAATTGTTTATAAATTTTTTTAATGTATTTATAAATTATTAAAATTAAATTTTAATAAAAATTTATAATTTATTTATTTATAATTTATTATTTTAATAACAATTTTAAAAAGATTGAAGTCTGGATTGTTAAAAATGTTAATGTAATACTACCTCCGGTTCTTAATATAAGACCCTGTTTGACTTTTTTGGTTCTAAATATAAGACTTCAATCTACTTTGTCTCTCATATTTAGACATTTTTTTCTCAAGTAACCCTTCTAACAATAATAGTTCTAGTCAATATACTTAATTAGCAATGATATTTTAGGAAAGACAACACCTATTTAAGACCAATAACTAACTCAATTTACTTCTTTAATATCTTCAAATTAGTCAACTGGTTCTTATAATTTAGGCCGGAGATAGTAGTTTGAAAAAAAAAAAGAAGAAGAAGAGAGAAAAGATGAAAAAAGAAAAGGAGAGATTCTAGACCGACCCAAATGGATGGGTTTTAGAGAATGACAGGCCAAAATCTGCTTGGAAGCTGGTACAAGTTAGGGTTTTGCAGCCAAGAGAGAGATCATTAAACTCTTCTGCGTAAGAGCAAAAGAAGTTACCACTTGATTCTTCGAAAGAGCAAGAGCACATAAGATAGAGGCTGAGGATGGCTTTTGCCAAATCGTAAGCGAAGGGAAAATTTTAGACCAACGACGCAAGCTGTCGAAGGCGCAGAAAGGGACGTTCTAGATTGGACTGAAGGGGGCTTTTGCATAAATTCTGAGATTATGATCCGATACATATTTTGTCACTATGCACTGCTGAAGATGGCGTCTTTTCACCCAATGTAAATTTGCACGACAAGTTTTTCATTTTGATTTCTTATATGACAACTTTTGAATGAGCTTTGTAAAAGGGATATCATATGTTGTATTAGAGTATTTAGATGAACCAAATTATGATTTTAAAAATAATTTTATTATATATAAAAATATTTTTTTAAAAAAAAAATTTCCCAATTCTCTTGACTTATTTTTCCCGGTGGGTATCACACCATTAGACATTAGTCTGTAACGTCCAGCCAGCTTCCTAACTCATGCCCTTTGGTATAGCAGCTATTGAATTAATTTAAATAGACTAAGAGAAGTTAAGTTAATTATTTATAATAAATATGTATTGTTTTTTTAAAATATTCTTACTAATTATGTGTATTAGTTAGAACTATCATTTAATAAAATTTTTAAAATGTGCAACTACTATAAATACTACTTTAAAAAAATAGATAAATATAAGAGATAAAATTAATTAGAATTTTATATTTAAAACTAAAATGCAAAATCCTTCATAAACGTGCCACTGTGGGTATGAAATCATCTGTTTCCGACATACATTTTCACTAGACGACGAGACGAATCTCACCTGACCAAAAGACACGATGGAGGTAGCTGTCAAAACAGTAGATCCAGTTCTAATTATAAGATTTTATTTATAAATTATAAATGAGGTTTTATAATTAGAATCAGATATAGTATGTTAACAATCAACCTTAATTTAAATGAGATATTTATATATAATTAACAATATATTACATCCTGTTTTAATTATAAGGTTTTATTTATAATGAGATCTTATAATTAGTATT